CTGGCTGGTTAGCTGGCTGGTAGCCCGGTGGCTGGCTGAAACTCTGAGTGGCTGGCTGGTTGAATTGCCAGCTAGCCAACTGTCTGGTAGCCTGCCTTACACCTGCAGGTTATCAGATTGGTAAGTTAGCTGGTTGCCCGGTGTGCTATGTGGCTATCAAGCTGACATAAATACTTGTTGCTCTTGTGTGTCTGAAAAAGTGGGTTAGTGCTGGATTAGAAGTGGTGTTTGTTTGCCACCCATTTTTGTCCCAAAATGGGTTATCAAAACGCATTGGAGGGTCTGATAGTTCAATTGTCCCCCCAATATCCATGGCTAAGTGTTTAGTAGAAATAGCAGTGATAAATTGATAACTACCGTGTTAGTTTGAAATGGGTTATCTATGACACCGTAATTTGGTGGTATTCTGAGCTTGTCAGAGACTTGTCAAAATGATTCCTGAATCTTTGTACGTTTTGGTAATCATTGCTTAACTCTGAACAGGGGATGTCATTTAAAAACAGGTGACTATCCAGTATGGCTTGGAATGCATTTATCATAGAAATTATTAACTTGTCATTGTGAAAAATTTGCTTTCTATGACGGAAAACATCTTGAACTTTTGAAACTTTCATAGTTTGTTACACAGTAGCACTAATGTGGTTTTTGTTGCTGCAAAAAGTACTGACCATAAGGCCAAAAAAAAAAGTCTCCGGTTTCTGGTATGGAGCTTGCTCCAAAAGTGGTGCGGCGACGCGGCTTTTTTTTTTTTTTTTTTACTTTTTTTTTTTTTTTTTGGCTTCAAATGTCTGCTGATGACTGCAAATGGTGCCCGACTAAACTTGGTGCAAATATATGGGAGTCCAGAGAGGCCACATAAAGCTTATTCTCGATCATAACCCCATCTAAAAACACGTTAAAATTGTGCAGCAGCAGGATTCCAGTCAAACCAGTGAGTTTGGCGGTTTTGAGACATCATCTTGTATTGAAAAAAAACTTTTTCATTTTGCCGACGCGCATGGCTGCGGCGACGCGCGCGCATACCAGAAACCGGAGACTCTTTTTTTTTGGCCTAAACCGCCTCTTTTTTTTCCTGCTTGTTGATTTGAAAACTACCTTTTATGCCTTTTTTTTCTTGGGAAAAAAGTGCAAAGGGAAAAAAATTCAAGAAGTTTAGGGTTTGAATCCCATCAGAAGCAACTTGAGAACTCTCTTTTTTCTCGTAAGTTCTCAGAAAGCACTGAGCATACACCTCGTTACATAATGCAATATATGGGTAAATCTCTATTTTAGAAGTGTTTTGAAAACAGTTCTTTTTTTCTTATCTATTCATGGATGCCAAGCTTTTCCATCCCAAGGTCTCACAAAAACTCTGAATGTATTTGTGTGACTTCTAAAGTCATTTTCATCAACTCTGCCATGCTACACCCGTTTTCAGCAACATGGATAGATATGTCCAAGCAATTAAAACTTGACAATGGCTCCGGTACGTGGGCTGAAGTTTTCCAAAGTTCACTGTGTGCACGTAATTAGGAAGCGCTTATCAACGTCATATTGGCCCAGTTATGAGCGAGTGTGTTTGCAGAGTGGAGTAGGGCAGTTTAGCTGTGACAACGCCGGACCTGCTCAATGGGTTAAGGTGGAGCCAGCCCGACTCATCTGTCTGACGTCCATAGATAGAACGGTGACAAATGACGAACAAAACACGCAATATATCGGGTCTTGTCCTGTAGAATACACACACTGATAGGATTATAACGACACTCTTCAGCGATTGGGGCGTCAACGGCTGCAGATTATGCATCAGTAGACAAGGCTTGTCAAATAATTTGTTTCCTTCAAAAACTTGATTTTTTGTCTCTGCCTATTTATTTGTTAACTCTGCAAAATCCCCCAAATCAACAAAGAGGAGTCCCATTTAACATGCACTTTGCAACTCTACAAGTATTATTTATAGGAGTAATTACAGTCGAGTTCAGCCTATGTGATTATTTAGCTGGAGTGAAAAGTTTGGTATATAGTTATAAATTACTACTGCGAGGCCTGGATGTTTTTTGGAGGTACAGTCAGAAAATTAATCAGTCAATCAGAGGTTCGGTCCAGAGCTAGATGATTATACACACTACCTGTTGACAGGATTAGAGAATCCTTGACAGTTTGTGTATATTTGTCTCTGCCTTGAGAGTGGAAGGATCGTCCAGTCATGAATGTTTTTTTCCTTTGTAACAAGACAAGCTTTTTTGACGGGCCAGCTGGCTAGGCCAGGGCTGGCCAAGTGTGACATTTGATGGTTCAGATTTACAGCTTGGTAACATTCCACGAATGCCGGACGGGGTTTGCGATGATCGGCGCGGATGCGCATGATTTGTGCTGGGATTGTAATGACGCTCATTCTGTTCCCTTCACTGGCTGACTGAAGACCAGAAGGAAATAAACTCTCGCTGGAAGTGGACTGAAACATTTTTGGACTCAGTGGGCTTGTTGGTGGAGGTCTTAGGTCTCCTGGTTCATGGTACACGGATCGGATCTGTCGCTGTTCAGAACTCCCCATGTTCATGTACCCAGTGTAGTTCCCTGCTAATTTAAATTTGGGGAATCTGTAACACGCTTCGGTACTTTTTGTGAGCTGGAGGAAGACTGGAAGTTAGCTACCTATTCATGCAGTATGTTTTCATCCGGCGGCTCAGTGTTAGAGTAAGTACATGTACACTAGTTGCTATGCATTGGATCATTTTTCATGGCCAACAGTACTTGCAGTGTCATTAAAGTAAACTACAAAACATCATATTTGGAATGTTTGTGGCAATTTGGGGAATAAGCAGTAAAGTTGTCAGACAGCACACTCCTTATTCATTAACACCACCCTGACTACAGTTATCAGGGAAAAATGATTTTGAAGAACTAGTAAGGGGCGTTTTAATTATCAAAGTTAGTGTGTAGTTTCTGACTGTATCATGCTTGCAGTTGTGCAAACGTTTGGTTTTAGATTGCGCAGTTCCTTCATACCTAAGATTACTTTTAATAGTATTTACAACCCTGTAGAGGTTTTGTATGCACGGTTTGCGTGTAAGCTTCAGAGTTTGCTTGGAATGTTGTTTTCTCTTTCTGTCTTGCTTTGTTCATCATCATTCATTACACACGCAAAACAAAAAATCCACTGCAAAACAAAATGTGGCATATCAATTGGACTGACATGCAACCCTCCTCTCAGGAATTGTCACGAAATCCTGACGTTGGTCTGAGACAAATGTCAACCTGTCTGTCTTGTGAAGTGTTTTCCAGAGCTTGTGTCTGTGTGGTTATCAACTTTGTGACAGCGCCAGCGGGCAAGAAAAATATTCCTTCTCCTGTTGACAAGTGTGAATAACAAGAACTACGAAATTTGAGATTTGTGTAATTGAAAGACTTGAATCAGTCACAGTTTTGGAGGGTGGAGGGGTGGGGTGTCTGACCATTTTCGGACACCCTGTCGGCAATTTTGGAACCCAATGTTGTTATGCAATGGTATGCAAATGCATTTATTGGTATGTAAAGAAAGCTAAAACTTCAGTAACTCTAACCCCCCCCCCCCCCCCCCCCCGCCCTCTGATTTTCAAGATTAAGGCAAATTTGGGCGACCGACAGTCGAATTCTGGAATCAGGTATCATTAATAGAAACCTTATGGTGTTCACGCTATTTATTCCCGTGTGTCTACATCAGAAACATCGTCTTAGGGGTAAAGAAGTTGGCATTGTTAGTTCTTAAGGAAATATTCTGGACAATTTGTATCTTTAAAAAGTGCAAATAACCGGTAGAGAAAACCAGGGGAATAATTACATGTATGAGTAAGCTACCAATTTGGAACAACATGGACAGAAATGCACCGTGGTTAAAGATCCTGGAAGTTCTGCTGACTACCCCTCAGTCCACGCTCCAGACAACACAATAGAGACATGATGAGAGTGCCTGCTGGATCTTATGTTCATGCCCATTATTTGATGTGGATGTATGGCATGGAGGTGACAAGACCACAATGACATACTACTTATCCTGTATCTTGACCCTATGGGAAGGCTTTGATAAGGGTAGGGGCTTAGAGCAAGGGCTGAATGGCAGTATTAATTAACACAATTAGGGAGATTAGGGGTGGGTGCTGGGCTGCCCCTGTCGGATCACATTACATATAGTTCACTTGGGTTGTTCAGCTGGGGATTGGGTTGGCGTCATTAGTGATAGATGCCTGAGCGTGGCAAGTTTATGGAAATAGGTCAGGCTTCTTGCATACCACTGTCAGATGTAATATCGGTGTTATGGTGATGATCTGACTATACTGAGAAGAAAGGATATTCGTGACTGTATATTCGTAGATGTACGTGACTAAAACTAGATTTGTTTTGAGATTGCGCATGTGGAAAGTGAATTTGTTGTGGCGTCATTATTTGTTTGATGTTTGAGTTTAAGAGATTCTTAGAAAACGCATAATGGAAGCTCAATGTGCTGTGTATGTAGAGATGTGGTTTTACAGTAAATTTTCAAGCTTGAAGTATACATGTAATTGTAACAGAACACAGTTTTAAAGTGTATTAAGTCAAACACGAACATCGTCTTATTATCATGTCATGATACTTCATAAAGTTCTTGGAATGAATGTGTAAAGTATGTGTTGATAGTCTGCACTTGAGAAACAAATTTGGTGAACTATGGCCAGGTGTTTGCTAGATGTATTAAAGGTTTGATTAGATGAACTTGAAAGATATGTTTCAGACTCTATTAATGTGTGTCTGATCTGTGTAATGAGAGAACATTTCTGTAATTACCGTATTTGCACGACCTTCGTTCAGTGGCTTAATGGCTTAATGAGTTCTAAAATATTTAATTGCACCTTAAACTAGATTAAATAAAAACGTGATTTTCTTTTTAATGATTTTACAGATTGGATGGCCTGAATAACAGTTCAAGCTACTGAGTTGTTTGGAACCAGGTTGAAGTTGAAACATGACAAATAATTGATGTTGCTTTCTTTTGTGCTTCTGTAAAACAGGGCAGCACAGAAGCTAAACCTCAGCTCCAAGAAGAGAAAGCAGCAGCAACAGCAGCATCAGCTGCAGCAACGGCTGCCAGTATTTGTTCCGGACCCTCACGCCAGGGAGCCGGAGGCACCGCTCTTCCCAACCAACTTCAGCCAGGTCATCGCCAGATCCCCACCCCCTGCTCCCCCTTCCCTGCTCCGCAATGTGGCCAGGGTCAAAGACAACCCTGGTGTCGGAAAGGTAAGAGCTCAGTTTGAATGGACAAGTTTTTGTTCTAATGTTAAGGAGCCTCAGCCAACCCTTGACTCGAGGCAGGCAACAAAACCACATGGATCATCTCCATACATCAGTATCAAATATCACCTTGACTTTGGTCTTAATTTGAAGCACCGAGGTGTCTTATGTCAAAATCGAGGAATTCCATGCACTTGTTTTCTGTTTGCTGAAAAAGAGCGCTCCACAAATGAACAATGAACAAACAAAAACAGAAAGAGAAATTGGTCTGAAACATCAGAGGATAATGTTTCTAATGAGAGACTGTAGGGATTGTGAATGACTTACAGGACTAGGAAAAGCAAAAAGAGTCACCTCCTTTTGAATTGAAAGGTTGCTCACCTGACGACTTTACCTTTTGGTAGCCTGCAGTATTCATATTATATTGAAATATGAGGCTCAAAGTTTTGCTTGTCACCAAAAACAGCTTGTCTCAAGAACTGGCATGGTAGGCCTCGATTCATAGACATGTACCGGTAGGAACCACCTTTCCCCAAAAAAAAATTATAAGGAAATATTTAAAAGTCCTCCCCTCCAAAAACAACAACAACATATGATATAACTACCGTTATCCATTGATACAAACAAGCTTTGCTTCCTATCAGGTAAATTGAGGGATCAAACAATTAATTGCAGTTCAAAGTCAGCAGTCATATTCATAAGAAATTGAGGTTTTTATGTAACCATCATTCTTGATTCAAGTTGTGTATTAGCTTTTGTTGTTCACAGTGTAGTGGTCTCCATTACTTCTGCTGTCAATCACTGTGTCCGATGTCATATCATCTGGACTCTAATTGTGAGATGGGTCAATACCCATCCATTATTACCCCATCCTGACTTCCATTCCCAGAACAATCCCGCTGACAATTTACCCTGGGGTCATCGGCTGTCAACAACCATCTCAGACAAGAACTAAAATGCCCGGGTCTTTAACCAAATCCTCTGTCCCCTCCTCCACCTTTTGTCAGTGATGGACACCATCGATAAGCTTAATGCTGTTGACAAAAACTCACCTCCTCAACAAAGCTTGTACTGAAGCAGATCAGAGATAATCTCTGTCAACAACGCTGTCCCATATTTTTTGTTCTCCCATCACTTTCCCCCGCCATCACTCCCCCCCCTCCCCCGCCTCCTTGTTTATCAAGATCTACAGCTTCTTGATAACTCCTCACTTTCCGTGCAAGCTTGAACCTTACACCAGCCCCGTAGCATAATCCCCTTTAATCTCCTTGTTGGGAAGGCATCATCCGTAACGCTCTCCAAAATCTGAAGAGGCCGCTGGAATCGATCGCCCATGTCTTTTTGTGCCTCTGTCTTCTGAAGAACTGGGGGAAAAAATGGGGGGAAAAAAAGACATAGCACTAGGAGGCAAACACTACTCAAGTTCCCAGAAATATGTGGAGTGTCAAACTAATGGATAGCTCATTGTCTCCAGTTTTTCTCATGAATACTCCAAGACTTTTAACCGCACACTGCATGAGTATTATTCCTTGCCCTGCCATCTGTGATGTGGAGTTTGAAACCTAAGCCAAGATTTCCTCTCCAGCCAAACATTTCACGAGTCATTTCAGATTCACTGTTGCATGCATGCATGAGAACCACCAACAACCTTCGCGGTAGAGCAACTGAAGTGGGGGAAAAAAGGAAAAAATGGTGTATACGGTACATGTACAAATTGTAGGTCATTTGTATTCAAGCTGTTCTCAGTACACCTCATCAAGCAATTGGGTCTGTGAAAACCATGGCAACTGATCATAGTCTGGTTCCAGGAAGTCTGTGCATGGTGTTTGGTTGGCAAACATGTACATGTACATTCCATGTGATGTTTTACATAAACAAATATAAACCTAATACATGTAGTTGGAGTTCTTTACTTGGAGAAACATGTTCCATTAGGAAATAGAGTTTAAACACACATTGTGATGGTATTCTGCTGTAATGTACGGTAGCATTAAATACCGTATGTTTCTTGTTTTATCTCATGCTTGGGAGGTTTTCAAAAGTTTGGCACCATAAGTGACGTTCTCTTGTATAACCATCTTGTTTTTAAATTCCATTTTTACCTTTTTTATGCACTCCCCCCCCCCCCCCCCCCCTTGGTGCAACATTACAATTCAAACTGTCCTGCAACTTTCTTTGTTGCACGTTTGGGCATTAAGCATGGGCATATAAATAAATATTATTAATAAATTATTAGTCAAACGTACATGTACGTTAACACAAAGTGATTTTATTTTGTAAATTAAACAACAATATTTAGACAGAAATATTCCCAACATTTGCAGCTGTGACGACCTGGAAGTAGATTTTCTTCCTCAAAATTGTTTTAAACGATGATCCTCTTTCCTGCTCATACCAAAATAGTTTTGCCGATCATTTAAGGAAGTGCATAAGAATTTGCGGCCCGTCTTAAGCTTCCTGTCGCCTCCTATTTATGGAGCAGCCCCCTCATTATAGGATAACCAAAACTTCCTCCTTCTGCTTCCCAAGAGTTGCCGATATTTGTTGACGGTGGTACTTCAGAGATGGAACTGCCTGATGAATGAAGGAATTGGCCATTAGCACTGCCCACCCAGAGGACCCAGGGTCCGTGATGATGAGAAAATTGGAATGGAGGTTGTGTGTTTATGCATTGGGTAGAGCTCCCAGGGAGCTGCCTTGTACTCAGGGGAATGCGCTTGGCCTTTTGATGGAGGGGGAACCTTATGATAAATTTACCAGCTGATGTACACGTAGATAATCAGCGGGTCTGTGTCAGGAAATTCAGATGGATGACGAAAGCGACAAACAAGATTTGATGGGAGGATGTGATGACAAACATTTGAGCTATAATTTATTGACATTAACAGGAAGTTTTAAAGATTGACAAGAAGTTATAGACCTGATAAGATGGTAAGGTTAGATGTTTTAGTTACAACATGTAGCACCATTAAAACGTCTGATGATTATTTTTACCCTCTTGAAGTGAGTCAAGTGTGAGTCAAAGTTATTTTTACAATTTTTCGTCGCAGTATCAAAGGTAACTTAATGATGTATTTACACTAATATTCTTTGTTGAGAAAGATAGATGCTTTAAATGCCTATTAGGAAAAAAAGATATTGGCCGAAAAAATTATCAAAAATGAAATGAGAAAATCTTACAGGAACTTGTGTTGTGAAATGAAAGCTTGCATGGGAGCATTAGGCATAGATATTTGACTTCATTTAAAGCCCTTTTATTCAGTGCTGGCAATAAGACAACTACCAGGTGACCCTTGCCATTAGTATGGACACTTAATTCCGCTATTCATTCAAGTGATAGTGTCCCCTCTGCCCTTTCCAATTATCCCTCATCCTCACACCTTTCCAATGATGCAGCTTCAGAGGGAGGACCTTCACAAAACAACACAGCTCCTTGACAGCTCGCTAATTGCATTATGTAAACTGCTCTGGTCACTCCAGCCACGCTGGAGAAATAAAACGGGAAACATTTGCCTTTCTCCATTGTCTGTCCAACCATCTCCAGATGCTTTGCTGTCAAGATTCTGTGATCTACAGTCTCTATCCTGTTTCCTTAGATTTCTCCTCGTATAACCTAGGAGGAATCACGGACGTGATCATTAGGGATGAAGAGGCATTGTTGGCCAACTCTCATTGTCTCTGAAAGAGAATCGTGACCTTGCCAGGTCTTGACCAGTGCCTGTGTTTGCGCTGAATCCTAATGAACCCTAATGAACCCAGGCAATTCAAACATGACAGTGTGGATTGGCATCCATATTTGCTGCTTGTGTTTCACCCATGTTCAATCTAGTTTTGGGATGTTGCTGTTAGCAGGGTTTTTCCAATCCGTGGAAGGGAAGTCGACAGTTGTGTTGATGAATCGACATTTGAAATAGCAACCTCAGTGTAACCTTAAGCTTAATTCATTGATGATTCTGTTGACGTCTCTAGCATATGGTTAACCCATATTTGACAATTCCTCTCTCTTTATTGCTCAGTAAATCTAATAAAATTATATTCACATTCAAAGGGAATATTTTGACCTTGCTCGATGCCAAACCAAATTTTCATTAGGGTCATTTTTCAGTCAAAGAATTACACAAGGGCTTGCCTGGTTGCTGCAACACCAGGTATTTCTCCAGCATTCTGTGGTTATCACAGTCCACACATGCCCGTGAGGAGAAAACTGTGCAAAAGACCGTTTGACAAATACACGTGAGTAAACCGGAACTCCGTTTTGGAAACTTGAATGAGGTATAACCGAGGGCTATCCTGAAGTGTTTGGATAACTCGCTGAAACCTGGATGAAATGCTGGAAATGTTTTTGTCCAGACGTCTGAGTTGAGGAAGGGAATATTTCGCTAGAAATGGAGCAGGACTCGAGGGCAGTATATTGAGAGGAATGCAGAAGATTAATATTATTACGCTGGTCTTTTGTGGGATTTGTTGAGCTTTGAGCAAATATGTATTCAGGTCTTATTCAATCGTAACACGAACGGCCGTTTGTGATACTCCAGATGTTTTTTCTGGCATTTATCTGATGTTATTTCACGAACATTCCTTAGAAATTTGTGGTCAGAGCCCAGTATACAAACCGAGTATATACTGGCATTTCATACTTACATGTATATCATTTTTACAACCCTCACAGGACAAATTAGCCAAACAGTTCAGTCGTTAATCCTGTGTCCAATGGCCGTGCTATATATATATATTTTGTAGACCAACATTCTACGGTATTTCTTAGGTCATCAGGGAATAGAAAAATTAGGAATTTCAGTTTAAATTTTTCTGAGAGAGAATCACGAATGTGTTCTTCCAAGTATTAAAGCTGAACGAAGCCAAGTGATATTATGATCTTATAGTCAAACTGTTGCTGCATTTCATGCGCTGTAGATTATAGAATGCTCGATCCATAAAAGCCCTAGAAACCGAAGGACAGCGCGATGGAGTAATGAACCAAACAATCATTCTGACCCAATTTCATTCCCGGTTTTTTCTTTCCTTTCCACTACCTCGTTCTGGCGGTCGTTCTTGTCAGGTAAATTAGCGCAATGAGGTGCCCTGCCCCAATTATGTCAACCGTGTGCAATGGATCTGAAATTTCCCGCCTGGCTAATAAATGTTGCATGTTGATGTGCTTGTATGAACAGTTGATGTACATGTGTGCCTACACCGAACATCAGAAACAGTATGCTGGGCAAATTGATTTTCTTTTCGATTCGGGGGATCGATTTCTTTTTACATGTAGGTGATAAATTTTCAAACTGTGTCATTGCTGCTTTTGCACACCTCTCATGTTGCTCGTGGTCTGACGAGTCGAACAATTCAAGCTAGTCAATATTTCTTGGCCCACTTTTCCTCGGTTTATAAGTTTTCAAAACTTTCCTGTTGTTTGTTACACTGGTTAAAATGAGCCTCTGTCATAGCAATCATAATTGTGAGAACACAATGATAATAATTTATAGTGTACATGTACATCTAGTTCCACATGGTTCTTTTTAAAAATAAACAGATCATATCTTTATTTTCAAAATGAAATTCTTTCAAATATCATTCCTTCTGGCATATGTTGATAAAAGTTGAAACTCGCCAGTGCTTTACCGTATTAAAAATCTCGACACACGAGTACCTTCTTCTTTTTTCTCTCATAAATAGAGTTTGTGTGCAAGACACAATAATGTGCTTCTTTATAAAATTGAAGCACTTAATAAGGCAATAAAATTTCTCCACCTACATGAACTGAGGCAAGTTATATATTTGACTGAGCCCTTTTTCATTAAATCTCCCGATTGTGTGCCATTGAATTCAGTTTAGTGCATTGACTGCGTGCAATCCTTCCCCTCGGCCTCCTAGCGGTTGTTTGCACAGTGCTAAGGGTTAGTCAGCTGATCTGTATTGCTTGGTTCCAATCCTCCACGCCACAGGCACCAACCTCCCTTGTCCCAGACCGAATTCCATCAGTCCGATGAATTATTTTGGCATTTTCGGAAGTCAAGATTTTCTGCCCAGGAGCTGCTGAGACCCTTCTATCTTGCTCCAACACACACACACTCTCGCTTAACCAAATACCCACTGGGTTTTTCATTTTCTTACATTTTATAGTTTTTTCTTGCCCTCTCTACGTGCCATTCATGGTATTATTGGCTGTCACGGTCACAATAACCAATCGCCCTCTCGTCAGAGTAAGCCATGCGTATATGAGGAGACATCTCCTAGCCCAGTGCCAATCCCATCAATGGAATTTGACCACCCCAGGAAACGTTTGACAGTTGTGAAATTAAATTTCTTCCTTCCATGGGAACCTTCCACGTACCACCGCAGCAAACTACCGTTCAAATAACCCTTCAGATCCCCTTCATATCATCAGTGAGCGTGCACGAGTTTCAAACATTTCTTCAGTCATAGGGAGAAGGTATGGTAATCAAAGCCCAAACCCTGCATTAGTGGATACGATTTTTCATTCTGCTTACAAATAGTCAACGAGGATTCAGAATACCATGTTGTTTTTTTAATTCAACAATTGAATAGTAATACATTTGAATGGAAACTATTTTTTTAAAAACACTTAATTTGGCCAAGTGATAAACGGTCTAGCAGCAGACTATGACTGTGTATCATACCAGATTATATCGGACATCCCACCAAGTTGGAGATAATAAAGACAGTAATGAATCACACTCATGCAATCGGTACCCTGCAGGTTCCCACCGGTTTCCCTGAGGGTTCTCCCTCTATACTTGGACACCCAATAGGAAATCAACCATTAATACTGCAACATCTCAGCATTCTGGTTTCTGTCTACCATGGGGGAGTGACGGTGGGTCTTGTGAAGCGTTGCGGTGCCCCACTGTTTCTTGTGCGTTGCTCCACGGTCATGTTTCAGCCCCATCAGATATGATGGAGGAAATTGAAAGCGACTTGATGATATCATTATTTTTTTCTCTGTCTGCTTGAAGGAGTAATGACTTCCCTGTGAATGAGACAGATGCTTGTGTAAATTTTGATGATTCATGTTCAACTCTGTTATGACCTCTTTTTTTTTGCCCAAGAACCACAAGGAAACATGTTTTATTAATCAGATATAGATTTTTGAATACATGTAAGTGTATGTACGGAGACATAATTAACTTAACAGGAGATACATGTAGGCTCTACGGATATCATGTTTTTGTTATTCTTGTAACATTGTATCCCCGAAACGTATGAATGGAGACCTGCAGAGCTGTTTTGCACTGCAGAAATCGCCACAGTATTTATTTGTGTTACCGAGACACCTTTCTGCAGACAGCGACGTCCATCAATAGAGACGAATTAACCGCTCGGCGGGTCTTAACATCAGAAATTAATAAGGCAGAATTGCAGAGCAAACAGAGTTATTCAGGTCAAGCGAACTCTGCGGGCGCTAAATATCAGTGGGCAGCGTCGTCAGGGCGCTGACAGTGAGTTGGCGGGAGTTTTTTACCTGGCGACCCAGAGTCCCACCAGTTGTTGATTCTGAGTCGTCCTGGAGCAGCTTTTTCCGCTCGTTGTCACCAGGGTAGTGACACCCCCTTGCTGTACCTTTGTGCAGCGCGTCCACAGTGCATTAAGGAGATCAGTGGCTTAGTCTGTGCTGCCTGCTACCCAGCAAGATGACTGCTAAGGAAAGATTGGTTCTAACCAACCGTAACGACTGACACTATTAATTCAGGGGATAAGCATGGCTGTCTTGGAAAAGATTAACAAAAGAAAATACTTGGTCTTTATTGACCTTGCATGATGTACATGTTCCAGTATCCCCTTCCTTAAAGTAAGATGAAACCCGGACATTTTTTTTTTCAAAGGAAAATAGCTGGAAAAACTTGACAACTGTAGACAAAAGATATATGATTCTATTAGCTGATGAGGTGTTTAATTTTGCTGAGTAATCTAGAAAAGGTTTTGCCATTTTCTATCCTGCATTTTGCTTTGTGTTGTGCAAGGGGTGCAATTGTCGCAGCCCCTTGTGTTCTTATGCAGGTTATTGCACCGTAGTGTACTAGTTTAGGGAAGGGTTACCGGCTAAATCACCGTGGGCGACAGCCAGTCTCCATTCAGTAACGGCCTTTTGTCCCTAAATGACCCCAAATCTCACTTGAATTACACTCAACGGTCTGATGATTCCCTACAAATGTTGCTTTCCGTGAATTTTGACGCTGGGTAAAACTGTAAGAACAACTCACAACTGTTGTCAGTGTCTGGTGCAGTGTTTAGTAAAAACGTGGATGACAATGAAATAAAAGTTGTGATATATTGTTTACAATTGCATATTGAGTATACATTATAGCCTTTTATACACATTTTGTCTGCAGCCTTTTTTTTTCTCATTTTAATTTTGTTACGACAGCGAAATTGCACAACTTTGAAGCATGAAATGCTTTCAAACATTGAAAAATGTCTGTATGAAAAAAGTTGCAACATCACAGTTTATTTTACTGTACTAAATAAACATGTAGAAATATCTCATAGTCTCAAAAAGTATCAGACAAAGTGAAGTTTCATTGGAAAAATGTTTTGTGTGAGAGAAATATCTTTCAGCTTCTCAGCTTGAAAATATTGATACATTTTTAATTGCATCATTTCATTTTTTTTTTTTTTTTTTGCTGCCTAGGTTAAAGTCATGCTGAGGGTTGTGCCCTCAGGTAACCCCACGGACAACGCCACGTTTGTCACCGTGGATACCAAGAAGAAGCAAGTGACCTTGTTTGACCCCACCTTTCTCTCCGGCTTCATCACGCCGGCCAATCGCAGGGCAGGGGTAGCCGCGCCCAAGATGTTTGCCTTCGACGCGATCTTTCCACAAGAAGCCTCGCAGGTAACTCTCAATAACAAACTTCATCTCTGAGATAACGTCACAATATTGTTACTGTATCTCTGATTAGTGTTTGGTATTCTCGCTGTTTAATAACTTGAATGTAGGGTCAACAATGGTTATTTTTCTTGCACAAATTAATCAGCTGGAAGTGACTTCCCATAGGACCCTCACACTGAAGTCTTGCCTTAATGCCGCTCGGCTTCATATACATACACACGTTTGGTTTCCCGCACGGCCTACGCTATTTGTTTCCCCAGCTCATTTGGAAGCTCCTTCCCGCCCTGCATTTATTCAATATGGAGACATTGACCCTGCGAACCAATAATGTCTCTGGTCTCAAGGTGATAGAGAATCAAGCCATACTTGCTCCGGGTGATCACGACCAACGATCAAACCCAACATTCAATGTCATCAATTCTCAAACCTCAATGGATACTCCTGTACAATTCTACAGTCAAAGGCACAGTCACGTTGCTTTAGCTTTCATCCCACGCTTTTTTTTTGCTTGTGGCATTCTAAATCTTTTTTTAGGGTAATACACTAGAATGATACGGCTGACGAAACAGCACCGGAACACACACAAAAAAAAAAAAACACGGCGAGATGTCTTTCATGATTTGCATTTATGAGCTTGGTACACGGGAGGCCCTGCGTGGGTTCAATTTCATTGAATATTGATGCTGATTTCACACCTTGATGATTTCTAAGGACGTGACTCGCAGTTTGAAGTGACTCGGAGTTGGAATTGTCTAGCCCTGTCAACGACTGCAGCTTGGCTCTGTCCAGATCTGCTCTCCTAAACAGACGCTGCGCCAATTTTATTACTTATTTAGAGAAGAAACGTTTCCGAGCAAAATAATCTAAATAAATAAATGCTCTACGTTGTGTATACTAATTGGCTTGTGGAATTTGGGAAGAGTTCACTGCGGACATCTGCCAAAAATGAGATATTTTAAAACTGTTTGCAATTATGTTCAATTCCTCAGCTCAGTGCTTCAATTCTTTCTTGACTAACTTCAAGGCATTACTGACAAATTTGCTTTGAATACCACATTAGGCATGAACAAAATGTATTTGCTATTCTTTCAATTTAAGTATTCATCTAAGCTGAGAATCAGGAAGTTAACTTTTTTACAAAATCATTCAACTGCTGTAAGAATATCATATTATTATAGTATTTTGTATGTTAAACCAGTTTGGCTTCATTAGTCTTTTCTCTCCTGAAGACGGTCACAATTTGGCTTCATTAGTCTTTTCTCTCCTGAAGACGGTCAGAGCATACTGACCGGAACGTCGAGTAGATACCTCTGGTTCTTTTCACAACCATTCTCTTAGTTTGAGAAATTATTCGCACATGGTGTTTCCACAAACTTTTCATTCATTAGTATCTCCACCATGCAAAGCCTTAAATCTTACTAGTCTTTTCTCAATGTAAGATATAATGATTCTTTAAGGTTAAACAATGTTGTCCTGCCCTTATTGTTTTTATTACTGTGTTCTTTTTTTTTACCTTCATATTTCATCTAAAAAAAAATGGGGGGGGGGGGGTTTGGAAGACCAGTCACAGAGTCACTATGAAGATACATGTACGGTACATTTTGATTTCCTGTGTGTGCCATTAATCCCACAGGTGTACAAAACCCTATTAACCACATCCCATTACCTAATGTCCATGTCTCTTTCCTTTTCTTCATCTCAAGGCTGAGGTTTGTTCAGGCAGCGTCTCAGATATTGTCTCATCGGTAGTCAACGGAGCTGATGGATGTCTTTTCTGTTATGGACACTCGCATCTCGGTCAGTATAATATCCCCTTTATGAAATCCTGGCTCTGCCCCTTTTAGTCTGACCTTTCACCTGCATAATCACGGCTGGTCTGGATCCACGATTCTATGGCTGATCACACATTTCTTGGCATTCTGTGAGACAGATCAGTGATACAAGTTTAATGCACAGATGTTATTTTTATTCAACTCATCCAATAAACCACAGTGTTTCTTAGCCACATGGTAAATGCAGGTGAACCGGTTCTTATTGTGCCTCTGAACAAAGGCATTGATAAACTACAATACTGCCAACATACCGGTAGGGCTGGGTAGGCATTACATTCATTGTGTGGACTTCGAACAAAAGAGGTCCACATAAACCAGGTAGAGGCGACGTTGTGTGGACTTGGGCAAGTCCACACAGTGTTTCCCCATTTCTGGAAAACAGGTTTAGAGGCATTTTTGGGTTAGGTTTATCTGTGGCAGAATGAAGAGAAACACTAAAGGGAATCATAGAAAAAAATTGGGTTGAAAGAGTTTTCACAGTTTGAGAAAAATGAGTTTTTTTCACTGGTTTTTCTTAACTACACGAAAGCAATGGAATGTCCACACTAGGTATGTAACGTAAACGTGCGTGGATAGATAGAGTGTAGAGCACTGGTTCAGTGTTCTGAATTTGGCAGGTCTAATCCATTCTTTATTCAACCTTTAATTCACTCTATTCTAATTGAAATGCAATATGTCTATCAAACTTATCAAATTACATTTTTCAGAATTCCAGCACAGAATGTCAAACAAAGTTAATGTGTGCTTAATCTTGAGCAGTTGTGTGCAGTTTGAAGAGTAAATGGCACTGTGCTTAGCCCTACCCCCTTGAGTGATAATCCAACAAGACATGAAGATGGATTTTGAAGGGATGTGGGTGGTTATAGGATGAAGAACACTTTTGAGATTTTTGGGTGATAAAGGGGTTCATTTGGAGCAAAAATATAGTTGCAGGTTTTGTTCAATATATTGTCCCCTGAAGATCTGATGGTTCCATCAGAAGCCCTAATGCTCCAGTTCTAAACCTTGATGAGTACATGTACAAACAGTTTATTTCTCAGAACCACACAACTTAATTGTCACTTGGTGTCATTGTTACTTGGTGTCATTGCCACTTGGTGTCATTGTTACTTGGTGTCATTTCCACTGGGTGTCATTGTTATTTGGTGTCATTGCCACTTGGTGTCATTGTCATTGTGTCATTGACGTACCACGAAGTCGACTTTATCAATACTTTCTCATTTTTAAGAATCCTGTGGTCTCTTACAGGCAAGACATATACCATGGTAGGCAGCGACAAATCGGTGCACACTATCGGGATAATCCCCTGTGCTATAGCCTGGCTCTTCAAATTGATCAACGAGAAGAAAGAGAGGACTAGCACACGTTTCTCGGTCCGGGTCTCGGCCGTAGAAGTCTACGGCAAACAGGAGAACTTGAGGGATTTACTGGTGGAACAGGCAAATGGTAAGTCAAACTTCAACAGGAAAAATATCTAAATCTAAAAATTCTGAATAAAAAGTTCATATTTGCAATAAACATAGACTGCCTCGGTTTCAAACATAATTAAAGCCTTTAGAGCCTAATTTAAAATGGAGTCTTTTTAAACATTTGTAGAATTGCGTTAATACTTCAGGACATCTAACTGTGACTAGTTTTTTGTGTAAGAATAATCCAAATTCTCATAACAGGAATTCTTTTTACGGTTTAAATCATTTATTAAAACAACTTTTATTCAGTGATGCACTGAAGTAGACCCTCAGCCTGGGTGGGCAGTTCCATAAATGTTGATGTATTGGCCTTACCTTGTCAGGAGATTTCTGTAATCATAAGAAAATGGTGGTTTGTGTTCCACTGAAGGATAGCAAATTCTCTGGTACTAAAAAACCCCCAACAAAACACTGCAAGATGTGCATGATATAGTGGTATTCTTGCAAATGAGGCAGGCTTCCCGAATTAAACCTGCATTTAATCATGACACTGCCCATATCATGAATACAGCCTCTCAGGTATTCTAATCCTAGAACCCACCACCTCCCCCTCCTCCTCCAAAACCCCGCCGGGATCAGAAAGCAATTCAAACACTGCCCCCAGCTAGAATTAAACTTCTCCGGTCTTGAAATGACAGAGGGTATTTCACGTTACTCGCTCGGGAATCGCAAGAAGTAGACAGTTGTCTCCATACAGGGCCAACTACTTTTTTTCATGAAATAGGAAAACTCAAAATAGATACCCTGCATTTTTATCCTTCCCTTTTTTTGTTAACTTCTCTTCTTATTAAGTTACTCAGATTGTTTAAAAACTTACACATCTGTATCATTCCACAGTGGTATTATTTTTTTTTCATTTCAGAGCTAGTTTCTTGAATAATTAATTTAACTGTTTATTAATGATCCTCTTTCAAACGGTCAGTGCCCAAGAAAGTTCAAAACATTTATTTTTTTTAACATGTGATGTAAATAAAAGTTAAAGAGATTTAATGCCAATTACCTTGAAGCATTTTTTTCTGGACAAAACAAGTGTTATCTTAAAGGGTACGACATTTCTTAAAATTCTCTATTGGAATTGTACATTGTCTGTCATAATTTCTGGTTTTCTATCTTGTTTCATTTAACAGGTAGTAACAATGGATGTGGCACCTCCCCCGCCTTATATCTCCAAGAAGATCCCATCTGTGGCATACAGCTGCTCAACCAGAATGAGCTGCGAGCACCGACGGCAGAGAAGGCCGCCTTCTATCTGGATGCCGCCATCGCTGCTAGGATGAACAAATCTAGCAAAGGTAAGATGGCGCATTAAAAGATATCAACCCTTTCATAACTGTATTACATTGTATTATATTGTAACTATTCCCCGAGTGCTGGGGTGCTTTTGGGCAGTGTGCAAACACATTTACAGTTAGAGCCATTAGTGGTACCATGCTTTTACACACAAGTCGTACAGGTTAGTGTTGCCAACATGCTATTGTTATATCATGTGCTAGAATACTGTAATTTCATTGGTCTAGGACGGCCACGTGTCTGGACAATAGCATGTCACACACTGAGGGTGATATCGCACTGTGTTCATTGCGCGCGTCGCACGCGTGTGTGGAACCTGCCGGTGTGCTAGCTTTGTGCAATGAGAACCGCAACGATCAAACGCTCAGTCTCATGTCCGGCAGGACATTAAAACCTTCAGTTATCAAAGGTTACATCACAGTGATTTCAGTTATTTCTCAGACAGTAAGTTACAATCATTTATCTTTTTGACTGCTTTGATGTGGTATATGCCGTTTGTAACCCCTTCGGGGCGCATGGGTGTTAAAACGTCATATCCCACATCACAGCAGTCAACAATTGTTAAGTGTACCACAAATATAAGTATACATGCATATGGGGGACTTTCAAAATGTCCCCATTGTCTTTTAATTATCATCACAACCATCCCATGATTCAATGTAACAGTATAACAAATATAGCCTGGCTCCAGTTTAAGGCATGGTTATGACTAAATGTTCAATTTGAGGTACAAGACAAGATGGCTGTTTTGAGATTATAACATATGTAGAAATGATGTCATCTAGTGAGTCCAACGCTTTTGTAAATAAAACCTCTCCGACGACGCAAACTCTCATTTTTCACAGCCACCATATAAGGAAAAGTCAACCTCTACTAAAACCACATGTACTGTACCGTTCAACAGCTGAGTCCCTGACAGTACACTATGTCGGATTCATGATTTAGCATCTGTCAATTACACAGCCTTGTGTGTATTTTCCGGCCTTAATTAGTACCACGTACCGGAGAGTTTACCACCGCCGCGTTGGAATGTGTGCTTCACAAGTTGGGACCTGGTTTGATGTTTATATCCCTCAGCACAGCACGGTGGCCGTTGAAAGCTAGATCGGTGTGCGAACTACAAACAAATGTTGGCATGTGTCATGTTCAGTGTTCTGTAGATCGTTAGTCAAGTTTTAAAATACTTTTCGGCATGAAATTTCTGTCCATGAATCATAAACTTCAGAGGTAATGCATCCGACTTCTTCATTTCAATTTTATTTTTAACAAATAGTATGGTTATAAGCTGAGCATGAAAGCACTGTTTAGTGTCAGCTAAAATAAACAGAATAAAAGATTTTTGGAGGAAAATTTATTGTGTGAAGAAGCGTAGCCTTGGGATAAAACATAAACACTGTCATTTTAACACTTCAAGTCTCCAAAAATTGATTCCATACATGAATACTTCCCTTAATGATTTCTAATGCTACATGTGCATTGTACATTGGTAAACTTTTCGATGTACATGTAGATATTCTGGAAATTATTCTGAATTATTGAAATTGAAATATAGGATTTATTTCTTTTTGGCTTTTGCAGGTCTATTGAAAATCTGGTGACACTGTAAACTGTTGTTTTCAGATGTCAACTTTTCTCAGATCAACTTATTACCTAACTCTCCACTTCACCTGTAGGCAATTTACAAGTTAAAACGGTAGAAAGTTGAAGACCACATTGAATATCCTCATTTAGTAATTTCTAGTTGAATGTCTGTAAACAAGTTCCATTTATTAGCAAGTTTTTAATTCTTCATACAAATAAGCCAGGTACATATTTCCAGCATTATCCATACTCTTTCATTTTGGCCTACAACCCCTCTTAAAATGGCCCACAAATTTCTGAATGGTTTGCCTGCAATGTTGTGAAGCCCGGTACATGTTCATATTTCCAGCATTATCCATACGCTTTTCATTTGGGCCTACACCCCTCAGAAAGTGGCCCACAAATATCTGAATGGTTGGCCTGCAAGGTTGTGAAGGCTCTGACTCAAGTCAAGAAATCACTTTCCTCTCGGATTGGGGATATATGCACAGACCTTATGGTCCTAGTGTAAATCAACATCACATGCATTCATACATACATTGCAGCCATATATGGAATTAGAGATCACATCTGACGGCAGGAGTGTGTAAATCAGACAGTCCTGCTGTTAACAAGTCAGCCGTTTTGTTTGTTTAATCAACGCTTAATGATAAACCATCCGCTGTTCGTGGGCCCGATTGCCCTGCCCACTGGGTATTTGCCTGGACGATGGGAGTAAATTATCCAGAGGCATTCTGGGTATGATTGAAGATGGCGAGAACAGAATTTTGAACGAGTGAGATATTGGTTGTGAAGGCAGCGATGCGAAATCAATCAGCACGAATTGACAAAGGTTGTAAAACTCTTAGTTAACCTGTGCTTCATGATTTGAAATGCGATACCGGCACTGGACCAAATCCTGTGTATATAATCCCAGGGCTTCAAAAGGCAAATTGGAAGTTGCGTTAATGGAAATTGCAGGGTTTGGGACTGAATTGTAATTATCGGCAGGGGCCCTGTTAACAACGGACCCATTACAAGAATGCACAGCATACCCTTTGTTTATTTGCATTATTTCAAATTGAAGTAGGCAAACAGGAAAGGGCATTATAGCCCAACGGGAAAGAAATAATGTATTAAAGTTGCTCACTAGGAGCGATCACATTTACGAAAGAGGTCTTTTTTCTCACACTGTACTTGCATATATATCATTTCTTTTCAAGGAACAGTTCGCGCTTTTTAAGATAGGGGCAGAAGGATTCTAAAAAACTTGGAAAGCCTCAGCAAGTTTGTTTAGGGGAAAGGAGGCTTGTAGATGGTGCAGGGTACAAAATGTAGTCAGTGAGGTGTGGCTTAAGACTGCTTATCCACACTCTCTCACAGAGACGATGCTCTAGGTTCAAACTGAAGGACTTGAAGCATGGGTCAGAAGAACAAAGGTTACTGGCCAATTTAGACTTGGAGTGACTTCCAAGACAGCGGGGACTCCAGGACAGGCTTTATTTCTACACCTATGAACTTGTTGCACAAGTGTCATCGTAATACCAGTGATAAAGAGAGAGAGATGACCGACAATTGAACACCATTGCAGCTATGAAATGGTTTTCAGTTTGTTGACATTTAGATACACTTCATGCCATACATGTATGGGCACAAACAAGCTGCATGCCTGCACCAAGAGTTACAATACTGTAGCCATTTACTGTGGCCATTTACTGTTCTTGTACAGAGACCATAGCTATTGTGTAAATGTGTGATTCAGTGGCGTAGGGATGGGGGTGTGGGGTTGAGGGTTGGAGGCTGAACCCCCCCCCCCCCCCCCCCCCAATGACACAACAACAGAAATGAGGGAGGGGGGGGGAAGAAAAAAGTCCTCATCAATAGCTTTATTAAACCAAAAACTCCTTTTTTTTTGTAATTTTTTTCAGAAGACCCAGAGGACAGCAAGTACTCTCACATGCTCTTCACCCTGCACGTGTATCAGTATCGCATTGACAAGTCCGGCAAGGGCGGTGTCATCGGTGGGCGGAGCCGACTCCACCTGATTGACTTGGGAAGCGGGGATAAGAGCGGCGGGAAGATCGTGAACGGAGTGGCGCTGTCATACTCGGCTCTTGGCCAGGTCATCCTGGCGTTGCTCAACAACCAGAAACACATCCCTAACAAGTGGGTAGAGATTGATGCAGTTAATGGCTTTGGATCTGTGACCTGTCGGGTGGGAATCTAGCATGTCATCTAGCACATATGGGAAGACTCATTGGCCCAATAACAGTATTCTTGTAAGCAATGAAATGACCTTTGTGCTCCGTTTTGAAATATTGCATACATTCTGCTGTTCAATATTCAAGGTTCTGCTTTTGAAGAGATATTAAACAGCACAATGTTGAAGGAGCTGCTTACACCATAATTATCAACACAAAAGTTGTGCTAACTGTTGCACAACAATAACTATTGCCTTCAGTGTATTTCATCATGTTGTTGCATCAACATTAGTGTACCAAAAATGTTCCTCCGAAGTTTGGTCTTTTTGCATCTAGTACAAAAATATGTTCCTACGGGAGGCAGTGCAATGAAATTGCCCCCACTGAGATGCTTTGTAAATAACTTGCTATTTTAGCTGCGATCTTGTTTCTGCTATAAAGCAATTTGTCTGTTGTCTGGAAATATTGTTTAGTTGTTTGATATCGTGTCGTACTCTCCATCATAATTGTTGCCATAAACGGAAGCCAATTTCTTTTTAGGTAACTGACGCATATTGTTGATTTCTGACTGTCATATTTAATCACCTTTTTGCCCCAGGGATAGCAAGCTGACACGAATCCTGCGTGAAGCCATGGGGAGTTTGTCTTGTCGGACGGTCATGATAGCCCATGTGTCTTCAGCCATCCAGTCCTACTCTGAGACGCTCAATACCATCCAACTGTCATCCAGGATCCATCGCATGAGGAAAAAGAAATCCAAGGTAGGTAGAAACATTTGAAGACAAATTTACAAAAGTTGTTAAACTGTTTCAGCTAATATTTTCCAAAATTTTGGTTTCACCTATAGATCACCATTAGTGAATGTTAAAGTGAAATTTACATGAGTTTTGTTAGTCTCAAATTCCTTCTTTATGTTAAATGTGTCCCGAACAGATGCTACTGAAAACAAAGTCATAACTTTGTGGTTAAACATAATGTTTTTGGCATACAGTGTGTCTGTCTCTGTGTGCATTTGTATCTTCAAATTAAGGTTGTTTTTAAAAAGGTCTCTCGTAGTTCATGGGAATCCAGTATTTGGATGCTTTTTGAAATAGTTGCCTTTTTTTAAGAAGAAAACCACAACAAGACACGCTCAATTGCATATGATAAATCTGAGTATCTGTTGGCTGGGGTGAATGGCTTGCAAATGTCTAAGATAAGTGTTGTACATTACTTCAGCTATAACTCACCGGCTTACATATTTCCATCTCAATTAAAGATTACTCAGGTGCATTGAGAAAAGAAATAAATGCCATACTGGCTAGCAAACTGTTCCAGAACAACCCCCCCCCCCCAAAAAAAATATTTTTTTTTTACAAAATAAATAAAATAAAAAAACCTCCACTCCAACTAAATCAGCTTTAGTTGTTTGCCCCGTGGCTGTGCAGAGATTTTCTGGCAAGGAAGAAAAAATCCTGAGTGCAGATGATTAAAAAAAATACACGAATGGAAAAAAAATAAAATGAGAGAAAGACTGACGCCAGGAAAAGACGGGATTAGGACCGTGTCTGCTGATAATCGCAGCAATAAAAACATGTTGCCTGGTAGAAATTCTAAAAGGAGGGGGGAATTCGGGTAGACAGTGATGAATAACGTGTAAGTCACTGCGGCGGAAAGGGAATGCTAGCTGTACAGATCAGCTGACTGATTGATTGAATATCTAACAGGCTAGGCTGTGGTCTGCCAGAGGCACTGCTCATTACGTGCACCATGTGCGTCATTATTATCTGTATATCATCATTGCTGTGTGGATGCAGACACGTCGGGCTTCGGGCCGAGGGGCAGATGTGATACCATTTGGATTGACAAGAAAAAGACACATCCTCCGTAATGAGATACCACACATTCTCCAATAATGTCAGATGTCCTGCTGCTTTTGAACAACTTACAAAAAAACTTCCTTAAAGTTCTTGGGCACTGTAATTTTGAGAAGTGTACATTTCTGGGTTTCATGTACTTGGAACATAGAACATGTCAAAGGATCGTTGGAATTTTGCCTGGTTCAGATCGGTCACATGCCCTCGTCTGGAAAGAATTCAGTTAACTAATGCTGAAATCTAATTTAAGGTTTTGAGATATATATATACTCACAGTCTGAGATGGTTGTGGATGTCATCTTGTGAAAGCTATGTTGGATCAAAAGTAGAAGATGTACCGTTATGTGGGGAATGTTCTTGTTAACATCTCCAGATCTCTTGGCACATATATAGTAAGACTTAAAGTGGATTTTTATTTGGTGCTAGGTTTGTAATATTCATAAAAGAACATCAGCAAGGAATGAATTTTAAGAGACCTCATAAACTGTTGAGGAAATAAGTTATGATTGCGGTCGGATTTCGTGTACTGTTGGTTCTCTAACAGTTTTTGATACTTCAGCTTGATTTATGGTGCATGGCGCCACAAGTCTTAAATCCTTCAAAATCCCTTCTACATGTATGTATTTCATAGCTCTCCACTACTTCCTATCATTTTTTAGTTACAAAATGCCAAATTTAATCCTCTGCTAGCTAAACGCTTAATTCCTAATTCCCAGTGCACACTTGTTTGTCCAGAACTACGCCATGGGATTTTCACTCAATGATTCTCAAATTACAAAAAAAAGTCCCGCGGGCAAGTATAAATTACTGCGTTTTTTTTTCTTTCCTTTTTTCCCTGTGTATTTTTGCTTGTCATTATTGACACGACATTGATTTAGTGTCTTGTAACGCTACTGGCTTAGCTTCGGCGCCATGCCCCAGAGACATTTGAGCCACCAAACTCAAAAAGATTCAAATCTCTTGTGACAGTGGTTTATTCCTATTGATTTATTGTCACAAAAAATGATAGCAGTGAATTAGAAAAGTACATGTGCTCCAACCATTTGCTATAATACATCCGCGCGTGTTGTGATAAATTCCCTTGTAATAATTTGGGAGGAAAAAAAGGGGGGGACAGGTGGAATGGGCAAGCACTTGACAAAAGTGTAATCCAACCATTGGTTCATATGATTGAGGTCAATCTCTGTAGCGTCACAGAGTCTCAACATTTTAGGGTTTCAGTCAGTCTGCTAAGAAGAGTGGTATACATATATATTGTTAGAAATGGAATGCAGATCTGTTATTGAAACACCAGCTCACAAATGTTTGAAAAGCCACGTTATGCCTTAGAAAGCTTTTACTTGTCAAAGCGTAAAGGATTTTTTTTTTAAATTTGGGTTGCGTCTCTGATTCCCTTAATCTGTGGATTCAGAATCATGGACAAGATTTATAAGTCTGAATGAAATTATGTTCCTCACAGGGAAAACATGGACAAATATTCAGCCAAAGAGTTCCCCAAGTTGGAGGTTTAAAATCCCCTAAAGCAAAGCCTCAATAATCTTGTTTACTATATTTCTAAGTAGAATACAGTCTGAATCAAGTAACTTTAGTATATTTGTTTTCATTGCAGTATTCTGGTACCAGTTCATCGGGCGGTGAAAGTTCCTGTGAAGAGGGTCGGATCCGGCGCCATGTACGCCCCCTCCACTCCCGTCACCAAAGCAGTGGAATGCAGGTCACTAACGCCCTCAACCAAAGTGAGCCGGAATACCTATCCAGTAGTGAACAGTCTTGCGATACGGTCATCTACTGTGGTCCTGATGGCTGTGCCTTGAGCGACCGAGAGTTGACGGACAATGAAGGACCGCCTTCACATGTTCCGATATGGAGACCCCCAATCCTCGAATCGGACGAGGAGGAGGTCAGTGACCTTCCGAAAGACTCACAGACACTTGATAAAAGTGTGGCAGATCCAATTTATGAAGTGATTGAACCGGAGGAATCTACTAAGTCACTACTGGAAGCTTGTCAACCAGTATCACTCCAACAGGCATGCGAGGGTCCATCACCAACTCAGACTCCTCCAACAAGAATTCCTGTGGCCGCAAGTCCGGTTAAGAAAAGTGGGCTTCCTGTGCCCACTAGAAGACATTCACCAAAATCTGAGCAGCCTTCTTCACCCTCAGAGAAGGGTACAGTTGCAACGGGGACATGCACAGAGCCAACAGCTTCACCTGCAGAAATGTGCCGCTCACATGACAAATCACGGCCGAGTGTTAGCGCCAAACCAAAAGTTCCCATGAGGAGGACTCAAGGAGTAAGTACAGTCATGACTGGGGAGTCTTTAATGGAGGAGCAAGACGGTTTGCCAACAGTACTTGAAAGTCAGGAGGATGAGGCTTATGGTAATGGAACACTAGAGGAAAAAGCTTCATCAGAAGATTTGACAACTGCTGTTTTGGATCAGGTTCAGTGTTTGCAGTGGGAGGAGGATGTTGAAAAAGAAAATGAGGATGAGCCTACAAACCAAGAAGATAAAACACAGCAAATGAGCAAAGAAGAAGAGCAGAGACTCAAGGCTGGCATGGCTCAACACAAGGACCTCCCTCCGATCCTTCCTCCAAAACTCTTCCTGAACTGCAGCACAAGTAAAGTCCCACCACCCCCTCCGAAACCCCAGATTAACAAGCTGACTGAACCGTGCTTGGAGTCAGACGATGATGATGAACTGTCCGAGCTGCGCAACATGGATAAGAGTCTGTGCTCTCAGCTGAAGGCAGTTGAGCCAGAGACCCCAGGAGGCGATAGCTTAAAAGATGGAGACTTCCTGGAAGGCTTCAGTCAGAAGAGGATGTCAGTAAGAGAAAGATTGATGCTGATGCACAGCAATCTTGGTACAGATTCAGATGCTATCCTTAGATGTCTTGGCTCTATTGATAATCTGTCAGACATGCTGGAGAAGCCAGTATCTGAAGTGTCTGAGGGTGATCTATCTATTGCGTTCTCAGAACAGGATACAATGAGCTTTGTATCCCAGGACACTAGCGGAGCAATTTCTTTTGATGACACCATGACCCTTGATGACCTCCCCATGGGATCAGAGGCAATCTGCTGCATCAAGGAGCTGGAACAGCGCTCCATTGATTCCTTCTCTGAAAACTTCTCGCTGAGTCTGAACGAAGCCAGCGTGAATGGCTGTGTCAATGAGCCCTACCTACTCCTTGGGATGGAAGACAGAGCTAATCTGAGTGTGGGTAACATTGGCCACTATGTGTACTCTGACGATGAGTCAGAGATTGTGGAGACTGGAGGAGAGAGGCATATCCGGAGGAGGAAACGTTCAGAGTATCTGTCTGAGCAGGAAACCTATGAATCTGCCTCCCTTGCTAGTCATGACCTGGAAGCCATCAAATCCATGTATGTTATCTCCAGTCTTAATCTTGAGGACATTTCTCTTCTTGATGACGATCTCTTGGAAGGATCTGAGATCACCATGCCGGAGATGAATCTGCAAGGAGGCTACATGGAGGATGAGGCAACAGTTGTCACCTACATGACCATCAATGATGAGCAAGTTGTGATGAGAGAGAAGCATCTTGCTATTGACCATCCTCTCAGGAGACTCAGTTGCATCAGTGATGCAACCGATGCCACCTTCAGCACAACCTCCAGGCCAGCAAGCTTCATGGAGCAAGATGATGATAACACCATCGTTGATGAGGAAAATGAGGAATCAACCCTTGATAACTCAAGCAGCTCTCAGTGGCTTCCAAAAAACGAAAGTCTGCCCGGCCTGAGGGACGCTAACAGGAACTGGAACTGTAGCTCAGGCGGGGCAATGGGGTACCAGGCTTTCAATCTCAATCACCAAGTCCAAGGATTCACTGGTGGTGTGCAAATGAGGACTAGTCCCCAGAAGGGGTTGGTGTGTTTGCCACAGTTGACAACGAATGGATATCAGACCAGACCAGACCCTAGGGCCGAATCCCCCATTTGGCAGCGAATGGATGGAGCAGTCCCTGATCACCAGCTGTCAAAAAACGGGGAAATGCTGCCGATTCCAACAAACGGCAGCAGTAACAGAACAGTATCCCATTCATCAGACAGGAAAGATTCCTATGTCAGTCAATCAACAACTAGCAGTAGCCCTAAGCAAACCACCCAGAGGAGCACGCAGAATAAAGGCGTGTCGGTCACCAAACTGGCTGAAATTGAGTCCAAGGGAGTACACACCTCCCCCATTCATAAACGTTGTGATCCGGTCCCATCTGAATCAAGTGTTTTAGACCAGGTGAACCCAACGCCAACATCCAGATCAGAGCCCTCATCTAAGTATGACAGCCCCCAGCATCATGCCCGCAACAGTTCTCGTCTACGCTCTCTCTCCCATCAACCGTCTCCTTTGATCTTGAGTGCCGCAATCTCAAGAGCCAAGGAAGAGATTGAGTACAGACATCATCGCAATAACAGCAGGGACTCTGATCAAATGGCCAGAGATATATTGCTTTTACGACGGCCTGATGGGGCTGATGCTAAAGAGATGGATTCAGATTGTCATTTCAATTATATCGCTAGTAAAATCCAGCAATATGAACTTTCTGAGGAGACAAAGGAATTGGCTGAAATCCTCTCAACATGCAGCTCTGAACGACCCCCTGCAATCGGGGCATGCTCCTCCCCGGCGTTTGAAGTGGAAGTGAACCCATGCTTCTCTCAGGAACTTGATGATGCATTAATCAAGGATGCTCTTAATCCTGACTTGCCAGTTTTGGATGGTAAGCTGGACAGAGAATCAGTGGATGAAGTGATAACTTGCCAGCAATGTTCATCATCAGAACTGGACAATGAAGGGTCAGTTACAGCACCCCAAGTACCATGCAAACCAAGCAGAGGCCTTGTGAAGCCCAAAATGATCTCCTCCCACCTACCTCAGTCAGAATCAGAAATTCAGCACAAGAATTCAAAAAACCTGAGCGCTAAAACCAGTGATACTTCAAGGATACCTGTGCCACCAACAAAGAGCAAGTTGCTCAAAGGGAGTTCAATACCATCTAAAATAGAGAAAGGCAGCAAGCTTCCAATCAGGTCCACTAGCCTGACGTCAGTCAACTCACAGAAGAATGTACAAAATGCCAAAACGTCTTCCAAGTCTAAGGCTTCATTAGGTCCCTCGAAGTCAAATCGCAGTGATGACAGTGCAAGTACCACAAGCAAAAGCAGTTCAGTGTCTTCCAGAAAGACTGTGCCACTCACAAGTAAGATCCCTCAGAGCAGCACCAGTAAGCTGAGCCCACCAGGACCCAAACCGGGACAGAAGACTTCCCAGGGTGCTTCCTCCAGCCTGCCGGTCAGGAACAAATCTCTCAGCAAATCTGCACCGTCGCTAAGCAAGTCATCTGGAGCAGCAGCTGCTGCAGCCGCATCTAAGATTCCAACCAGTGCTGGAGCTTCGGGAGAGAAGGCACTCTTGCGGAATGTCAACAGCAACATTTCACAGCTCCAACCTGGCAACAGACTAACCAACTCTTCAGATGGCAGTAACGATAGTGGCATTGCATCTAGTGAGAGTGTCCCAACACCTTCCAAACGCTCCATCTTATCTCCGTACTCCACTGTCACCAAGCCGCGAGTCCTGCGCGGTTCTAGCAGCGGGCACGGCAGTGATAACAGCAGTACATTGAGTGACTGTCAGACATCTAATAACGTGACAAAGTGCCGTGTTGGTGGAGGAGCAAGCAGTGGATATGAGAGCATGCTCAGAGACAGTGAAGCAACGGCGAGTGGTTCATCCTGCCATGATTCCATGAGTGAGTGCTCCAGTGCTCGGCTGAAGAACTCCAAACTCCCAAAAAAGAAGTTTCCAGGTAGGCAAACAATAATACCGTTTTAAGAATTATGAAGAAAACATTTATGAAAAATATAAATTGATTATATTGAAACTTGGGGTATGTTACATTAATAATGCTGGAGCTTGCTCATCGATATTAAAGCATTGCATCCAGAAATGTAAATATATTTTTCTGTGTATTCTTCATAAATTATTTGAATTAATTCAATAACATAGTATGCAGATATTTCCCACACCAGTTCGTGTTTCCCATTATTCAATTATGTCAAGACCTGTTCCATATATGAATCAGTTTGCAGGCTTTAATTAGAGTGAGCCAATAAGGTTTTTTGTTTTGTTTTATTAAAAATAAGTTTAAATTTTCATTCAAAACTGAAGATAAATTTTATCCACTTTAGACTGCAAATGGGAATAGAAATCAGAGGAAAAACAAAAGCTGCTGAGTGATTGAACTCCAAATACAACCTGGTTCAATTGCTGTTTCACATAAAGAGCAGGTTTGGGATGTTCGGTTATAGGCAACATTTTTAAACCACAGGGGAAACACTGCCAATGTGACTGACCTGCATTACCATATTTTTGTGTTGCACGGTTTTACCCTGATATGGGTATGATTCAGGGATGTAGTCCAGTCCATCTTATGTCTCTGCAAGTCCCTGCAAGTCCATCACAGGTCCTCCAGTCCCAATTCAACTCACAAGCTATTCAAATGAGCTTTGACAAAGGCATTCCTTTGTTATTGTTCATCCACTGTTACTTGTGACTGGACTTGTGATGGACTCGACTACATCCCTGGTATGATTTGGCGTTGATGGTACACTTATTTTATATTGACCCAGGGTCGAGGCGGAGTCGCAGTGCCCCACCCCGCTCAGCCACAGACAGTCACCAAGGCAAGAGCAACCGATGGAAGGACTTACCACCCAGACCTAAATGCCACGAGGAGGGGGTTGAAATCAAAGTCTATGAGGTAGATGACGTACAGAAGCTGCCTCAGCAGAGATCAGATGCTGTCAAGGTGAGAGGGGACAATATTTTTCTAAATGAGTTTTTGCCTTTCAGTTTTGTTAATGAACTCAATTAGTAGCCACTTCACCAACGCACTTCAGATTTTGAATCGCTTTTTTTATTTCTGTTATTTAGTCTGTTTGTTTAAAAATAGTACTGATGAACCAGTATAAACTAATCCCGTGATACAATCAGAGCCATTTCTGAAGAGGCACTACTTTGGCACGCGTGTCCAAAAAATTCTTATTGTGAGGTTGACATCTATTTTGCCAAGTTGTAAGCACACCATTGATCCAAGGAGCATCGAGTGTAATAACCTGCACCAAACATCATACCTCTGCAGTAATGGCTGCTAATTGTGGTTTCTGGATTACTTTATGCATTTATAGCAAAATAAGTGAAATCAGGTGTACATTTGTATCCATATTTTCGGATGAGAAATTCCTTCTGTTTCAAAATGGCATTTCCATAAAGCCTCAACACATTTTTGGTTTCCTGTGATATACAGTACCAACAGTACCTCTTTCATATGATCGTCAAAAACCTGAATTTTAAATCGTCACCTTAAGAGGCAGTGTGTTGAGCCATTTAGTCCAAGCATGATTTAGTGTGTAAATTAGAAGATACCGATGTGATGGCTTTGGTGTATATTTAGACATTTTTTGTCATTGTATTCACAACTTCTTCATTACCCCTACCCCTTTTCGATCCCCTGTGGTATCTAAACCCCACCCACCCCCTTCTTTTTCCATTCTCATTTGTCAATCATCGATCCGTTGTCCACCTGCATAGCACTTGGAGACAAAGCCAGGCAAAACCTTGTACGTGTACGTTAGTCTGATGAGTGTTTTTCCACACTTGTGTTGTCAAATTCTGCACTCGGTATTGATGGTGGGGAATCAAATTATTCCGCTGATCTCATTGAGAAAACTTTCGGGAAAATTTGGGAAAACTCCCCTAAAATCCAAGAAATAAGTGCATTTACTTAAAAGTTTGTGGTGTTTGTTTTGTTGGAGTCGGTTCATGATTTGTGTACTTCAAGGTACCCGATACAGTACAAACATTTATATGACTGAAGCTGAAACGTTCTATACCAAAAAAAGTTTGGAAGTGTATCTTAAAGTTTTGAAGTTGAAAAAAAATTTTGATGCATAGTCGGTCAATTAATTGCGCGTTATTGCTACCAAATCGTGATCATATAAATTTAAATCTTAGTGAGTGTGAGCATCATATCATGAACCATGGGTCCAATTTCTAGTTTCGAGGAAGAAAGAAATTCTGACTTGAATACACTGCTATTGGTTGTTAGTTGTGCAGCAACAGAACTAAATGACAATGACCTTGCCTGTGCCTATGATTTTATAAAATGTTTTATATGAAAGAGAAAGTGTGTGTAACAGTTATGATTTCTTTATTTTCTTTTGCTTTTCAGTACATTAAATATATTCTTTTGGCTAGCGTGTGTCTTAAGTGCATGAAAAATACCCAGATTGTGCATGATGTTTGAAACCTTTCGTTTCTTTTCTTTTTAGTTGTAAAAAAAAAAAAAAAACCAAAAAACAAGGTTCCAACCTGGCGTTGTTTACAAACATGTGCATCTGTTTTCAAGTCTGGAATTTTTAAAATCCGCACTGAGCCGTTCAAAGTCTATGCTAAAATTTGCGTGGGTGGGGAAAAAAATCGCTTCAGAGGGTGCATTAAAGTCATGCTTCATTAGCACGCACTTGCACACGCAAGCAACCGTCGCCCCTAACACATCAAGTATTGATCGCACTTACTACACCACAACAGCAGATTTCCTCTCTGTCTTGAACGTTTTTCAAGATGTTTCCATTTGTGAGTTTCACGCCTCATTTCCTTCTCTCCCTATTCTTTATTCTTTCACCCATGGTTTGTCATCTCACCATCACCCACCACCTCTGCTCTCCTGGACCCTCAGAGTGATCCTCTAACTTCAACTGATGACAGAGTACTCAAAGGCACAAAGTCCGAGGTACAGCTTTGACAAGTAGTCTTGTCCTTTTCTTGTTTTTTTCCCCTTGTTTTCTGTTGTGTCTGTTCAGTGTTTGAAGTGGTTGGTTGTTCTGTTAATTGGAAGTTGATGGGTGTAGCGTTCAGGGAGCTCTCGACCCATGATGGTTTAAGTGGAAGTCTTTTGGAAACTATTCATTACGCGCTTGATTACGTCTTTGAAGGAAGATTTTTTTATAATCTCGGGTTTGGGAAGAGCACGATGAACACTTTCTCATGATGTTTCTTATGAACTTTTTCGAGAGAAATAAAAATTCAATCACGTTCACCTAAAAAGTGGAAGTTTGTAAAGAAGTTATGTACCAATTGTTTGAACAGTGCCATGGTTTGGGGCTTGCAATTTGTAAATAGGACACTTAAAAGCTAGAAATAAAAAAGAATGAAAGGAGGGTTTTTGTTTGTGTCTTCTATTTATATACTGAAATCAAGACACTATTGTCCCCTTTAATCAATTTCTCCTTAACAGAATAGATTCATGTTAAAAGTAATATGAAAAAAAATAAAACAAAACTAATAAGTCTTCACACGAAAAAGTTTTTTTCTGAGGGTTTTGGTTATAATAGTTACAAACAAAATGGAGAGACAATTTATAAACTGAACTCAATTGTTCTCTTGAAAAGAAAAAAAAATGTACGTAAACAAAAGTGGAACGCCACAAATGAAGTCTTTCCTTTTCCTTCACAGGCCTCCTCCACCACAACCACCTCCCTTTCCTCTTCACCAAATTCTGACCCCTCTCCACCCATCACCAACCCAGACCTAGCCCCCACTGCACCTCTTCCTCCATCCCCGCCCCTGCTTGACTCTCAGTGCAGTCTTCTGGACCAATTGTCTTTCCACCAAACCAGAGCGGTTGAAAGAGGAGCGCGCGAGTGCCCGCTGCACCAGTACGGTGAAGCGGTCTCGCTGTACGCTTGAGTGTAAGCAGAACACTCTCTTTGTATTTGCATTGCAAGTGTCTGCTTGGAAAAACTCATTCGGGTGTTGGTTTTTTGGCATGAAAAGAAAGAAAAGAAGTGACTGATGCCTTGGTTACTCTCATTTGAAAGTTTGCTTTGTATTGAAACTTGTTGGTACACGATTTCACATATATTTATCTTGGTGTTGGTTTAATTGTTGGCATGGTTAAGCATGGATGTCTTTCATCACTTTATGCTTAACTCCTTTGGAACTTTGGTTTTTTGGGTCGAAAACTGCCTGAATTTGCCCAAATCGGACACTGCTGTAAACCAGCGGAACATTCTTGCAGTAAGCCAAAAGCTCTTTTTTTTTTAATTGAACAAAATTGAGACATCAAGCTCTGATTATGGCAGGGTTGGAACACCCACTGATTGGATTTGGGCAGATTTGGTTGGGGTCCTGTAATCCTTTGAGATCCATCATCAAGATCCCAGGCATACATGTGGACACCTTTAGTCCATTATCATCACCCCTTGCATATTTGCCAGTACTGTCATCACAGATATCAAACTATAACTCGTTCCTTACTTTTTCTTAGTGACAATGAATCATAAAAGTCACTTCCTGGAAATCTGATCCTCATTGTCATTACACTGATCCAAAATGTAAATGTGAAAAAAAAAAGGCATTGAAGATAAAAATCTATGTCCCAAGCATTGACCGTATCACAGATAGTAATGTTACAGCCTTGGCATTAATTAAAGCTGCATCAGTAATTGTGCTTCAAATTTCAAATTTACCTTCAAGTTTTGGTTCAGTGTAACAACGATGGTAACTGCACATAATAACCATGGGAATGATGGACATTAGATTTTTTTCATCCATATTAACTTAATTCTAACTCATTAAAAAAAAATGCATACAACGCTAGAAAGAATAATTTTCTTGTGGCTCAGGGTTTTTGCCCCAGATGTTGCTCCGCATGAGGGCATGTCTCTCAAACAACTAACCCACGGTGTTGTCCATAACATACTGAGCCTCATTTCAAGGAGTTGTTTCGTTATGTCTTTCCACACAGGGCACTTTCTGGAAGAGATGGAGCCCGGCCCACCCCAACTCCCTCAGACCCTGGCGCAAGAGACAGCCCTCCTGGAAAAGTGACTGAGGACCCCGATGACCCTACTACTTTAACCCCTGGTTCCATTGCAAACCTTGATTCTCCCAGCTATCTAAGCTGTGAGTCTGAAGAAACTACTGGAGGAACTGAACACATAATGACTGAGCATCGGTCTGGCCCTGTTGACCCTTCAACTTTGACCCCTGGTTCCATTGCAAACCAGGATTCCCCCAGCTATCTAAGCTGTGAGTCTGAAGAAACTACTGGAGGAACTGAACACACAATGACTGAGGATCGGTCTGACCCTGTTGACCTTTCAACTTTGACCCCTGGTTCCATTGCAAACCTTGATTCTCCCAGCTATCTAAGCTTTGAGTCTGAAGAAACTACTGGAGGAACTGAACACATAATGACTGAGCATCGGTCTGACCCTGTTGACCCTTCAACTTTGACCCCTGGTTCCATTGCAAACCAGGATTCCCCCAGCTATCTAAGCTGTGAGTCTGAAGAAGTCATTACTGGAGCAACTGAACACACAATGACTGAGGATCGGTTTGACCCCGTTGACCCTTCAACTTCGATCCCTGGTTCCGTCGCAAACCTTGATTCCTCCACCTCTCAAAGCTGTGTGTCTGAAGAAGTCATTAGTGGAGGAACTAAACACATAGAGACTGAGGAGCTGTCCGACACTGTCGACCCTTCAACTTCGACCCCTGAAGAAATCGTAACTCAAGAAATTGACCACATTGAAGAGTCACATAACGATAGCCCAGAGGGCAGTCTAGGCAATGACTGATGAAAACTGCCTGCTCAAAAGTGGTCACAACTTAGCCAATCAGAATGCAGTAAAGACGAGTGACAGCACGGCACGAAGCAGCGCCATCCCATATAAGCTCTAAAGTCATTGGCTACATTTTATATAAGTGAGATTTACATCTTTATTGTACTGTGACATTTCAATATTGACCTTTGAACCCTGAACCAGCGTCATTACCTCTGTACATCAAGAGGCTGTGTTTACACAGTGCATTGACCTTTTGCTGTCATCAAGTTATGCGATGTGTAGACCTTTCGTCAGGACTTTTTTAAGTACAGTATTTGATATCTCAGTGACTCCACAGACGTCATTTTATCGGGCTTGTGATCTAATAAATATGGATGCCGATGCAAGAAAACCATTGATATCTGTACCTTTTCTATGCACAAAGGCGTTCACAGGATTTCAAGCTTTCGATGCAACGTGATTTATGCATTTTCCCTTATGCAGTTTACCCGGTGGTATGTGCATAACTAACAATCTTTAAAAAACAACGATGACCATCTTTGCTTGAAGCTTACTTCAGCTGGCTATGCTAGAATTTGCATTACAGGTGCGTATGATGTCAAAGGCTACATTTGTTTCAAGTTTTTCCACAATCACAATTGTGAAATTAGCCTTTTGTGTGGCATTTCCTTAACTCGTCTTGGAGTCAACTAAAAATGATGTATTGAAATTTTAAGACCTTTTCTGTAATCGGGGAGACTGTTTTGTGCCTGGATTACCAGCATACTAAGGGTCTTGATATCTTAGTGCATTGAACTTAGTTGTTGAACTTATACACTGGGTACTATCTGTAATGGACATTCAGTAATATTCACTAAGAGTTAGTATTGATTCATGCATTTCATCCTCTGAGATCATTCCATGTGGAATTTGACCCAACCACAGAAAGCATCAGTCGTTGACTGAACCATCCATGGCCTTTCAGAACACTTTATTCCATCGCAATTTGGCCTATGTAAGCTGCAGCTTGGCGAGGGTGCTATTTCATGGCTTGTTTATATGAAGATTATCACATTGAATGTTAACTCCTAGCGACCCAAGAATGACTTCAAGAAATCGCTTTGTAGCCGACCTAAATGCTAATCAAATGGTACTTAGTATACGGCTGGTCAATCCATTAGTTTGTGAGAATTGTCAACCATGTTTTGTATTGTAATTACTGAGAATATGTTTGCGAAAAATATTTATATAATGTTGGATGGCTTTGAGGGGATACAAGAAAATATTTCACGAGCTGTAACAATATTGCACGAGTGGAAGCCAGCTATATCTTGCAAAACGGTATGTTCAATATCCTGTTAACTGATTACATTTCAATACGGTTCAGCAGCCATTAGAGTGGATTCCATACCAGGAGCTAGGTATTAGATGTTTGAACAAAATTTCATCACAACTTTGTGCAAGCACTCCTTGTATGGTGGAAACGTAAAGACAACTTTCTATGGGCATAATTATAGCCTTGATATCATCCAAGATCTTGAAAACAAGTTTCAGAAAACTTTTTTTTTAAACGAACTTTGTTGGCCTTTTAATTTGATTGCATTTTCTATCCTTGTGAAGTTGGAGACAATCTGAACTTAACTAATGCATTTTTTTCCACCTGATTTATGCAAATACTAAAAAGTTTGATTAAATACTTCAAGAAAGACACACAGCCTTGTGAAAGGACTATGCTCAATATCTTCATTGACAAAGAATATTAAGTGTAAATTTGCCTCAGTACTACTATGAACAGTATTTATGCAAATCTCAAATTGTGACTGCATTAAAGTATGAATAATAAAAAAATGACTACCCAATTATAAATTTGGAATCCAGCAAATGTTAATTTTGAGTGCAGATGTTTTAAAGGGGCATGTTCCCAAGTTTTATTGAATACACAGGCCATGCTGATCTACCCTAGAATGCACTTGTACGCCAGCCAATTGTTTAAAAATAACTGATTTTATAGCATTTGTGTACATAAAGTTGACATGTACAAATGTTGCCTTAAATTATGTGAGACTTCGTAGTGATGGCAGACAAATTAATTAAATTGTAAAATTTAAGGTGGAATGAGCTTCGGAGATTATGGGGTGGGTTTTTGTAATTAAAGAGTGGACCATATGGTGAATGTCCTAGTTTTGCTTTATACCCGATGTGTTGTTTTTTTCCGCTGTTAAAGAAAAGCTTTGGAAAATTTGTCAGATTTCTGCTTGTATTAAGAACAGATGCTGTCAAGGTATTGTCCTCCAGAGTAGCTGCTTCTGAGAAAAACTGTTCTAAAGCCGCCTTTCTTATGAAATTTTTTAATCGTTGGTCAATTGTTGAGCTCATAATTTTAAAGGTTTAGATGACCCAGATGTTTCTCTCTGACATAACCAGTTGATTGTGTGAGCGTAGTACAATCTTGCCATTTTGGAATTTTAGCACGTTTCTGACAAAGTCTGGACAGGGTAGACTGCTTTGGAGGCCCGGTTTGATGCAACGTTTTACAGTTGCTTCCACGACCAATCATGTTGTTTATGAGAAACGAACATTTTTTACTGTGAAACAAACAAACTACAAAAACACCACTATTTTCTTGTACAGAAGATGACAGTTATAGAGTAGATGTGTTTCATTGCTAAAACCCAAGTAATGCAGTTGTCATTGATTTGGGATTCAGTTCACTAGAAAAACCGACGTGTTTTCTTGAACTTAGAGCAGAGTTTATTTATGAACTAATGATTATTTTTTTCTGTGTATAGCTGTATAGTACCATGTACAAAATGGATAGAACTTTGTCTATTATAATGTTGGAGAGACACCAGTCAAAAAGCAGTGAATTTTGCTTGATTTTCTGGCGTCACCTGCAACACTTTGTAAAATATTTCATAAGTTAGTTTGATTTTAATGTGAGATCAAATGTCTATCAATAAGTTTAAAGATGAATTATTCATTTTCCTCATGACTTCTGTGATACAAGCCACAAAAACAAATTGCTTAAAGGGAATATACAACATTTGCAAACATCGAAAAATAAAACTACCAAGTTTTTGCGAAATACCTTAATAGGATGTTGGTAAATGACAGTCTAAAGCATCCTGTAAAATTATGGCACCTGGTATACTGTCATTTTCAAGAAAAGTGGTATTTTTGTATCAATTTCCAACGCTGATCGGCCGATCAGCGTTGGAAACAACTGGCTTTTTTTTTTAAATACTGGCCCCAATTGACCATTGCACTTGTTTGCAATCGATTACAAACCTATGAACGGGTACGAGCCAGCTAGACTGGTTCCCTGACCTTACAATTCCCCAATGTATGTAAACTGCTCTGTTTCTTCTTATATGGAGTCAGGGAACCAGACTACAGGAAAATGATCGTTTTTCTTGGTTTTTATAGCATTTTCGAACCCAAAACCTCAAAAAAGTCAGTGTAACTATATTTGCTTTATATTTCCAACCCCCCAATTCCATCCATTTCTGAAAATTACAGCAAAAGCAAATGATGTATATTCCCTTTAACGACATAATAGCAGGTTATCATTGGTATTTTTTCCCATCGTTTTAAAAGGTGGTGTCTACTATGGCTGACCATCTTCAATCCTATTTCAAAAAATTTAAGAACCGGTTCTTTGCAATCCTTTATTTTTTTGGGGGGGGTCCTTTTTCTTATTAATTTTAGCAACGTCAACATGCTAATACATCAATGTATACACCAACGCACTTCAAACTGTAAAGAATACCCAAGCTGGAAAATGTCCAAGTTGGAAAATGCCCAAGTTGGAAAATGCCCAAGTGTAAACTATATTGTACAAAGAACTAATATTTGGTATTATTTAATTTAGCATCTGTACTTTGATTTGTATTATTCAGCAATTTTTAAGCTGACATTTTGTGTTATTTTAAAGGAATGAGTCCATTAAGGAATGTCATCTTCTCTGAGTTTTGTCCACAAAATGTAAATGTTAAAAGTGATCTTGAAAATAGAATTTAAAGACACAAATATCACACAATTATAGTAAATACAAATCTCATCACTCATTTTGTACCTGAATTGATTGTGAACACATCTTTAACCGATATACTTTGTTTGATTGTATGAATAAAATGATTTGTGTTCTTTGTAACCGATTCCATGTTGTCCATATCTCCTCTGTGTTTCTAGTTCTATGTTCATTATGACTCAAATATTTTAGTCTAGAAGCTTGGGCAGTGATGGTTAAAAAAAAAAAGAAGGTTTTTTTCCAGAAAAAAAATGGAGAGATTGAATAAGTGCACAAGTAGTTGTTCAGCAAAATGAAACAACCACGATGAATATCCTGAAATAAAAGGAGCGGGCAAGGCAAAGCCTCGTTATAATCCTCATTAGTTTAAAGGGAATATACATCATTTGCTTTTGCTGTAATTTTCAGAAATGGATGGAATTGGGGGGTTGGAAATATATAGCAAATATAGTTATGTACACTGACTTTTTTGAGGTTTTGGGTTCGAAAATGCTATAAAAACCAAGAAAAACAATCATTTTCCTGTAGTCTGGTTCCCTGACTCCATTTAAGAAAAAACAGAGCAGTTTACATATATTGGGGAATTGTAAGGTCATTGTAAACGGGGGCTAGTATTTGAAAAAAAGCCAGTTTTTTTTCCAACACTGATCGGCCGATCAGCGTTGGAATTCGATACAAAAATACCACTTTTCTTGAAAATGACGGCATACCAGGGGCTTTACACTGTCATTCACTAACAGTCCAGCAAAGTATTTCAAAATGATTAAGTATTTTTATTTTTTGATGTTTGCAAATGTTGTATTTTCCCTTTAAATTTGCATCACATTTCCTATACCAAATGATGGCTGCATATATTTAATATCGTATTAGTAGACTTTGAAGAAAGGAGTGAAATTTGTCGCAAAACTAGAAGCAGAAATTTATTACAACTAATAAATTCTTGAACATGAAACAAATTTAGTGTACAAAACAGTACATTGTACATCTCACATAATCACTGCACGGCAGTACTATTTAGATAAATATCCGTAAAGTCTAAAACGTGAAAAATCAATCCATGAGTTGTAGTTTCTGTAAATAATTTCTTTTGAAAACATGCTATGTTCAAGAGGTCTAGTATGGCATAGAGGTCTCCTTATTGCCCAAAAATTACACAGAGGAACTCTTCAAAGTGAGCACAGAGGTGAAAAATACTGCATGCATGGCTGATGACGTGAATTTCTGTTAACATGATCAACGTCCATGTTGACTTTTTCATAAATTTCTAATGACAACCCTCAACATAGCCACCACTCCCTCTCTCAACCACAATTTCAACTATCCAAGGACAACAACGAAGGGGAATATTTAATATCCAATCAAGTTTCAAACACATTTTGTACATTTGGGTGTTGTTTTTTTCTTATTCTTTACAGGCAGTGTTCCATTTTCATCAAACGAACTGTTTGGGGGAGGGAGGGCACAGCTGTAACAAAATATGTTAAAGCTATAGTCCATCATTTGCAGCCATCCGAAAAGTAACTGGCGTAATTATTGTTGAAAAACAAACTTGGTTGAAAGATAGTAAGGGAACTAAACCCCCTGTGAAATTATTCTTTCTGGGAAGTTGTCATTTTGAAGTAATCAATGAAAGAAGGCATTTCCAACGGTGATTCTTAAGAAGCACCGTAGGAAAATTTAAATTAGTAGTTCGTTTTGTTATTCAGCGCAGCGCGCACAAGTATTGGAACGACGCACACGCGCGCGCGGTTGTTGTAATTCGTCGGATCAGTGCGCGACGTCACCTTTACAGGCAGTGTTCCATTTTCATCAAACGAACTGTTTGGGGGAGGGAGAGCACAGCTGTAACCAAATATGTTAAAGCTATAGTCCGTTTTTTTATTCAGCGCAGTGCGCACAAGTATTGGAACGACGCACACGCGCGCGGTTGTTGTAATTCGTCGGATCAGTGCGCGACGTCGCCTTTACAGGCAGTGTTCCATTTTCATCAAACGAACTGTTTTTCAAAAGCTGCAATTCAAAACAATTCAAAACATGATTCAGTAACTTTTGATTTGAAATTGAGATCTTAGAATGCTGTTTTTCTCGGAATGTACAGCTGAAGCTTAGCTGAAACTTCATCAGGTTAGTTGTTCAGTATCCTTCATTAGATTTTGAACTCTTTTGTTGCTTCAAACGAACAAAATGCACAAATTACAAATGATGGACTGTAGCTTTAAGTGTTCTTAGAATTCACACACGAGGTGTCAGAAAAAGATATTCCAGATGAAAGCAGGATGGGCAGTTAGCAGAGAATTTTTTTTTATGCACTCACTTCTCTCTACATAATTTTAAAAAAAAAGTTTTTAAATTTTTCAGAAATTCAAGCATGATGGAGCAGGAGACTGACCATCTGTTTATGGTTCCTAGTTTGTCCCAACAACCCAATAATAGTGGAGGGAAAGGGGCATTCACAGCCCACGCCCCATTTAAGGACGTGCTTCCTTCTCGTCTTTGTCCTTTAGAATTTTCAACCCGCATGCAAAATCTTTCAATTCTGAAAAAAAAAATTGCCTGAATAGTGAACAAATTAATGTCCATTAATATTCTTCTGAATAAATGTACAAAAAAATTAACCTCCCTGCAATAATGATTAGTCATCACAAATTCAGTGACCATAATTTTTCTAAACAATTTTTTTTTTTTTTTACTGCAGCATTCTACGTACATGTAATAGCTCAAATTGTGCTAGGTCATTTTTATACAAGCAGAAGTTCTTAATAAAATGTTTGAAGGTCCAAATTGGTTGAGGTAGCAAACAGATTTTCTGTACCTGATCTATGTAAACAAAAGTCTTCGGTTTCTGGTATGGAGCTTGCCCCAAAAGTGGTGCGGCGTCGCTGCTTTTTTGTTTTGTTTCCCCTACTTTTTTTTTTCTTCAAATGTCGGCTGATGTTGAAGATGATGCTTTGATTGCCTTAAAACTCTCAAAAATATCCTTCAGGTTGGAGCTTGAGGTGACCTCAGTAAAAGAACGTTCTTCGGGAAATTTGGATAGTCAAGACAAAAATCAGATAAAACGGTAACGTCAGACCATACAGCAACATCGACATCGTGCATGTGCTGCTAGGCTGGTCATTAGTCTGCTCCCTTACATATTGCCCTGATTAAAAAGCGTTTACGGGTTCCAGATACACGACCATCACTCCCTCAGTCTGGCTTCCAGACGCACAATTACACATTACAACACAATCTGCAAATGGTGCCCAACTAAATTTAGTGCAATATATATGGGAGCCCAGAGAGGCCGCATAAAGCTTATACTCGATTGTAAACCCATCTAGAACACGTTAAAATTGAAAAAAAAAATTGAAATTTTTGTGTTTTTGATTTTGCCGACAAGCATTGCTACGACGATGCGCGCACAGACCAGAAACCGAAGACTTTATTTTTGGCCGTATTATTATTTTTTATGTCAATTAGTAGGCCTATTATTTCTTTGTTTAGAACACAGCTCCTGTCAATTTGACAAGAATATCCCAGATCTTGTCCTGCAAATCTTTATCATATGAGAGGTTTGAGGATTTAGTGTCCTTATCATCTACAAAATATTTTCCTGTTACCCCGTCCAACGCAGGATCAGTGGCTGCAATATACTGTGAATTCGCTTCATTGACTGGAATACCGATCGGCCCCCAAGCCTTCATGAGCATGTTGGTGTTGACTGTCCCTGGATCAAGACAGTTCACCGTTATGTTGGTGTCTCGCAGGAGTTCAGCCATCTGGTATGTGTACATGATCTCGCAGAGTTTGGACAGGGCGTAAGCGGGACGGCCGTCACCATAACCATGCTTCAAAGTCTTCAGATCATCCAAGTTGATCTTGGAGCAGTTGAGATGTGAGATGGAGCTGACATGAACGATGCGGCTGGCCTTGCCAGTCTTGAGGAGGTCCATCAGAAGGGATGTTAAGAGAAACGGTGCAAGGACGTTGACTGCAAATGTCATTTCATGACCGTCTTCTGACTCCTCCCGTTTGGGCAAAAACACACCAGCATTGTTAATGAGGACGTCTAAGCTACTGTGGTTGTTGTGGATCTCCTCAGACAAACGACGGACCTGTTGGAGAGAGGCCAAGTCGGCGGTGTAGACCTCCAGACACTTGCTGCCCGTCTTCTCTGCGATCTCGCTCTTGGCTTGATGGATTTTCTCTGTGTTCCTGCCGTGCATCAGTACCGTAGCCCCAGTCTGGGCCAGCCGTAGGGCCGTGTGCTTACCAATGCCATCTGAGGCACCAGTTACAAGGAATATGCGACCAACCATCGATGCAGCAGACATGGTTACACCCAAAGAATCTGCCAATCAGAAAAAGAAAAAGAAAGTGTCATTTTATTTTTCAAGACAAATTATGATAAACCTGACATGCAATTTTTAAGTTAAACTCATTCTTAAAATAAGAAAATCAGTATCTTGTTAACCCTTTAGTCACTGTAGCGCCTGAAACTTCCCTGCCTATTACTCACTGTAGCAGCCAAAACCACCCCAGCACTCTATTGTTTCATTGATTTCTCAGTAAATAAACACAATGTAATACAATGAAAATGGAGTCCAGATGCTAATGGTTTAAAGGGACACTGCGTCCTGGAACAGCCCAATTGGGCTACAAAACGCGTTTTGAACGAGATAATCGGATATATTATATAAATGTAGGATATAAACATCCACATAACTATCCTTTAAAACCTGGGCGCTTTTGTAGTATTTTTGTGTTAGCCTATTCGTGCGAGAACGACTTCCGGGGTCCACTTTTGCGACCCCAAAAAGTCGGGCTGTTTGTGCCAGTTGTGATTCCAGCCGTAAGGGTTCGCTTTTAGCGGACGTGTATTAAATCACATTTTGTGCATTGGTGATTGGTCACCGCTGTTCGTGAGCACAGTGCTGTACGTACGTGTGTACGTTGTGTAGACACACAACGTGTATCGTACATTGTATGAAAACGACAGGAAACACGTATCATACTCTGTCATGTCGGATGTAAACAATCGGGTTTTTTTTTCTTTTCTCGGGAATGGTAAGACATTGGGATGGTTTCCTTACAACCAGATGTTTGAAATAGGATAAGTAAACAATCCAAAACATGACATTTTCGGGGATTTCAGGACGCAGTACCCCTTTAACTGTGTGTTATGTTCATTTTTATTCCTCCATGTTTGAACACTGTAGACCTTGACAGTTGTTACTGTCTGAAAACGTTTGTGTTTTAATACTGAAACTAACCCTAGCATCAAGAAAACATTTTTGTAGTGAATATTGTTATGGCAACCGTAACGTAATTATCAAGTGCTATATTTATGATTTTGCAAATCATAAAATGTTGCAAATCTAAAACGAAGTGGTTATCGTTACGGCAGCCGTTGTTTAGCGCCCTCTACGATACTTTTTTGATAGCACGCAGGCATACAATTATTTGTTTTCCCACGTTTTAGTGAGCAGTGCGACAGCTCAGTCGATAGAGGGTAGGATTTTGCACCGCGAGGTTGCGGGTTCGCATCTCAGTTTTGCACTCGAATTGTTTTCCTTTTCTAACCTGAGGCTTTGGAGGATTTTTTTTAAAAGGGAAATAAAGTCCGAATTTCATAACGTTCAAATTCACTTTTTTCCATCTAATTTTATATTTTCTTCTCATGTTTTTATAAAAGTTGCAGTAGGCCTACTACCGTAACGATAGAAAATGGGAAATGCATTACGGCTGCCGTAACGATAGCCACCGCGAATCTAAAAACCCACGTTCAACCCGTCCAACCAGATTGCTTTGTTAGCTCGATAGACTACTGTGCCGGAAGGGTTCGAAACCGCTGCTGTACTGCTCAAACTTAAAAAAAAAAAAATGATTTTAATAATTTTCTTTACTTTCATGTTTTTAATCAAATCGTTCTTTTGAAAAGTAGATTTCATTTTCTTCTTTGTACTCCGTAGCTTTGAAGGATTTTTTTTAAAGGGAAATAAGGTCCGAGAACCATTCGGTTAAATGATACTGACCATAGTCTAGTTCCAACAGCCAAAGATCCTGACGTTGAATACTATTATAACTGGTCAGGGAACCAAACGGTTCCCATAACGATTGCAGTTGAAAATCGTATTATGGCTGCCATAACAATAACCACTGCATTTCACAATTTCCCTCAAAAAATGAAAACATATCAATCTCTGCCCTCGTCAAGCTCTTGTTTTCCATGACATTCCTGTTGCTTTTGAAGGTCGCCAACTATTTTGATACCGTAAATGTTGATTGTCGTTCTCTTATCAGGAATAGGGACCCAAACTATGCATAGCGGTGGCCAGTTTGGCAGTGTAGGACCTACAAATGTATTCGTGTATTCCACCATGAACCGAACGTTCACAGGAACACAAATTGCATGGCTGTACCGTGACAGAAGTACTATCAGTGCAACAGTTCAGGATCACTTCCTGCATTTTGTCCTGGATTCATCTTGGGTGAAATCACAAGGTGAGGTGAAAATTGATGAGTTTGGCGGCAAGTAAGTGGTGTCCCAGTATGGAATTCTTTCCAAATGTTGAAAAGACATGAATCTGGGACTGAGAACATTTAACGTTACAATTCAGTTAGAAAAATGAAAATACTGAAAATACTAAAAATGCACTCGATTCTCCCATGGACATGATGGATGATGGAGTAGTATAAAAAGGTAGCTCCATGATTCTCCATAGACTTTGTACACAACCAAAGAAGTGTGGTTAAGTGGCTACCCCTAGAATTATGGGTCTTACACGTATGACCCAGTTTGGTGTGCATAAAATGGAGTCATAATTTTCACATTGATACATTACCTCAGATTGCTGGATAATGTTATTAAATACGGCCTTAAATGGGCAGAAACGAACATCAGAAACCAGCAAAATTATGTGCGGCATGCAGCTAGCTGCTGTTCACCTTGCGTGTACCGTACCTAGCCCTTCGCCGTATATTGGTGGCGCTATTTTTGTTTTGAGGTTGCCGCCCCCGGCGGCGATTTTTTTTTCTCCCAAATGACATCCATTATGTACGGAAACGCATTACCGCCACACATTTTTTTTTTTCACGTACGTACGTGATAAGTTTCACGTACGTACATGATAAGTTTTCTGTTTCACGTACGTACGTGATAAGTTTCACGTACGTACGTGATAAGTTTCACGTACGTACGTGATAAGTTTCACGTACGTACGCGATAAGTTTCACGTACGTACGCGATACGTGAAAACTATCAGTATATCACGTGTTTTACTGCGTGCGTTTAGTTAGTCTGGTTCCCAAACCAAATGATTGTGACTATTCCTGATGAATCTTAGGTCAGGCAGCCTCCGTGGCTAAGAATAAACATGACGACATTGATGGCCCTTTTTCAAAGCTCGGTTTCGTTTCTAATTTCGCTTTATCACGTTTAGCTTTTTAATGTTTTGATCAAACTTTAAGTTAATCACTTGCTTCGTAATATCATACAGTTATGCTAATACAGTGATGTTTTTGTAAGATAACATTGACTAATGATGATTTGGAATCTTCAAAATTAGGCACCCAAATAGCACTGTTAGCAGGCGGAGCCGAATGAAGACAGAGTTTTGGAAAATCTCAGTAATGGTCGTCAAATTCAAAATTGTACATGTCGCGGCAAAAAGTTCGCCCATACGATCCGACTATATTTGATGCACAAAATCGTCGTTGAATTTCAAGATTTCTAAATGAAAGCAATGAATATTAATTATCGGACCTAAGATTCATCGGGAATAGCCAGAATCTTTTGGTCTGGGAACCAGACTAGCGTTTAGTTTCAGTTAGTCGCGGCATGTCAACTATCACGTACGTACGTGAAACTTATCATGTACGTACGTGAAACTTATCACGTACGTACGTGAAACTTATCATGTACGTACGTGAAACTTATCATGTACGTACGTGAAACAGAAAACTTATCATGTACGTACGTGAAACTTATCACGTACGTACGTGAAAAAAAAAAAATGTGTGGCGGTAATACGTTTCCGTAATTATGGGTGTACGCTATGGCATTTTTGGACTTCAACTTTTATAAAAACATGAGAAGAAAATATAAAATTAGAAGAAAAAAAAGTGAATTTGAACGTTATGAAATTCGGACTTTATTTCCCTTTAAAAAAAAATCCTCCAAAGCCTCAGGTTACAAAAGGGAAAAAAAATTGCCGGTGCAAAACCGAGCCTCGAGCCCGTATTTACGCGGTGCAAATCCAACCCTCTTACGACTGAGCTGTCGCACTGCTCACCAAAACATGGGGAAACAAATAATTAAATACCTGCGTGCGTATCAAAAAAAGTATCGTAGAGGGCGCTAGACAACCATGTATGCGGATGTCGTTTGGGAAAAGAAAATTTGCCCCCGGCGCAATAGACCTTTATCATGCTGCCACAATTTCAGTCATGTTCCAATAATAGTACTGAACGATAATGGGTTTTTGTGCAAACAAGGAACCAGACCATTTTCCCTTCCAGCCCTCGCTTCGGTTACGTTGATTTGAATGGGCAAAATCAAGATGGCCGCAACATGGTGAATACCGCGGCATGTTATCATGATCCCCCCCCCCCAAAAAAAAGAAACCCGTGAAACGTCTGGGAAAGAAAGTAGCCTTTTCCCTAATTTCCGTCCATCTAAATTAAACATAAACATTTAAAATTTGTTAGGAAAAAAACGGAACAACTTTAAGAAAGTATAGACCTATAGACCCAGGCAAGGGCGGATACAGAACACAATTTTTTGATGGCCCCAAAAAAATGTTGGTCCCCAAAAAAATTGGGTCAAAAAATTTTACGGCGTGGCGGGGTTCCAGTGACGTCGCAATAAAGGCAGGCACTGCGAACACCACCATCTTTTTCTAAAAAAAAAAATTGGTCAAAGTGGTCAGCAATTGGGGGGGGGGGGGGGGGGGGGGGGCATGGCCCCTGTTGCCCCCCCCCCCCCCCCCCCCGGATCCGCCCTTGGACCCAGGGTTCGACCTTAACTTCTTTTCTCACTAGCCAGCCGGGCTACGGACTCTTAACTAGCCCGCTGGCAGTTTATTGAGTGCCTCATAAACAACAATTAATGTGCATACAATTACAAGTCATGTAAACGTGTATCCTGAGACAATCTTTTCAGTGTTTTTAATAAAAACAGATCTAATAATGCAACCCTAAACAGTTAATAGAATTAGACACAAATTGATATACAGGTTCTGAATAATAATAATAATAATAATTCACACTTACAGAGCGCATTTCATTAACATTTCAATGCGCTTTACAACTAAGATTTTTTTCTAGAGGAGGGTAAAGCGCATTATTTCCCAAAATCCTTGTACATGTACTTTCTCTAGCATATTCTCAATTTATATTTTTTTTAGGCTGGGGGACAGTTTGCCCACCCCACCCCCATTGACACCCCTGTGGACGCCCATGATGTTAAATGTGCATTAAACTAACAACAATATGACTTCGCACCTCGTCTTCTTTTTCCCCTTCTTCTTTTTTCTCCACTTTTTTTTTGGTATGTGCTTTCCAGGGGGAGCGGGGGGGGGGGGGGGAGGGCAAGCGCCCCCTTGACCCATCCTGGCGACGCCCATGGTCATAACTGTTGCAATACTGTTATTTATGTTATGTTATTTAAAGTTGCACTAAATGCTATTATACTATAATACATAACATATTATGAAAAGTTACATTTCTATTACAATACATTTAATGGGGACGTCTCTATAGTCCGAAGTACCATTGGTCCGACGTCCCATTGGTCCGACGTCGCATTGGTCCGACGTCCCATACGATTAGGTTAGGGTTAGGGTTAGGGTTAGGGTCAGTCAACCTGAACCAGTGGAACTACACACAGTATTATGTTTCGTCGGACCAATGGGACGTCGGACCAATGGTACTTCGGACTATCGAGACGTAACCACATTTAATTACGTTACATTTGAATTTCATTGCACGGGGCAACAAAAATTTAGTACTATTTGATGCGAACAGGTACATGTAGGTCTTTATACAATCTACACTTAAATGCGTTTAGTGATGAAGCATCATGAACTTTAGTGCCGGGGCGGCTGTTCCAAAGTTGGGGCGCTGCTGAGGAGAAGGCGCGGTCATGATTTTGCGAAGGCCAAGTGTCCGGAGAAAAAAAAAAGTCAACATTTCAGAACAGATTTTTAAAAATCTGACGGGCCTGAACCCCCTGCAAAAATCCATGGATCCGCCCCTGACTAAGGTATGTCGGGGCAATGCAAGACCATGTTTGGCTTTGAAGGTGAGGAGCAGAATTTTAAACTCAATTCGCTGTGAAATGGGGAGCCAGTGCAACGATTGGAGGATCAGATAGAAGGCCCGTAACATATGAACTCACGGTACACAGGACAAATAAATCCAATTTTAATTTGCCTGATCTAATTTTAGTTGTCTTCATTAACATAGCCTTGCTAATTTGCCTGCATATTAGTAAGAATCATGCTATTATGTGCTTCATTGTTTTGAAGTACTATTGATGAGTACTTGAATAAAATTACTAGAAAAAAAACGTAATAAAAAAGTAGTACTACTTTGCAAGTTACAACTAACCCTATACATGTACATACCAATTTATGAAAATAGAAGCAGAATTTTATTTAGTTCCACCTCCTCGTTGGCTAGGTAGAGAACTATCTGGGTTATAAATCATTTACAGTTTCTGGGATATCTGTTTAGAGGCAAGTTTTAAATTCTTGTTTCACCAGTGTGGAGTGCTGGTGATAGGTATTCGCATCTTCAAATTTCTTATGCTTTCAAAATTAATGAATGATCTTGTGCCTTTAAGATTGCGATCAAGATTGAGAAGACTGCGGCGGTACTTTACAAAGACCTTACAACGACACAACTTTGGAATAAAACTATTTCAGTACTGTAAAATATAGTTTGAACCCAACTGATGTGATAACAATAATGCAATAAATCCAATCTTAATTAACCCACAAAAACAATGAACCGAAAAGGTGCAGTGTAAAGAGTACAGAAAGTGAGTACAATTCAAAATGAGATAAATTATGCATAATTAACAAAAAGCCTTATTTGACAAGAAACACCCTTATTTGACATGATGTATATAATTTATATAAGCTATTGAAACGGGGCCAGGGAATCAATTCACAACTCAAAGGAATTACTCGCTTCTTCAAGTACACAGGGCTCAATTCCAATGCTCTGCTTACTGTTAGCGAAAAATCCCTGCTTACTGTACCATAAAATTCCATGCTTAAGGCAAACGCATTTCACGGGTTAGCAAGGAATTTTGGCTTACGCGCATGCATACATCCATACATCGGTACTAAGGATTCTGTGATAACAGGGTTAGCACGGAATTTTTCTGCTACCGCTGTTGGCACAGAATGGTGATCGTAAGCAGGGAATTCTGTGGTTAGCGGAGCCATTAATTTTTTTTCAAAATTCACACACACCAAAATGATAAGGATGACTTAAAAAGTATCCACAAACCAAATAAGCTATACATACGTATCATAGTAGTAGTTTGTGTTTACATATTTCCGGTCGAATTTTGTTGTGGCAAAAATGAAAGTTTACACGTTAATAGGCATGTTCACCTTCACCGAAATAAGCATTTCATGTCTGTCCAATATAAAAACTGATTGTTGATATTTTCCCATTGTTTTAAGACTATAGGCTTAGCGAAATTTACAAAAACCGAAACAGTGTATTAAAATTGTCTTTTATTAAAATGCTGGAATTTCTGCAAATAAAACCATTTACATGCCTATTACAACAAGGAAAAAACACCAAACATCTGAACTATCTCAGTACACAAATAGTGTCATTAAACCTGTTTGTAGCTTCAATTTGTTGGTTCATCTTATTAGTGTGAAGATCGAGCATGAAATATGCAAATCATTTCTCCTCATCAGAATATTCCATGGAATCTATAAAAAATAATCAAAAATAATTCAGTAAAACCATAGGACAATGAAATCATGAAAAATAAATGTGTACTCATGATTGAGCTCTAGTTTGAGAAGAGCTCTGACTAAAAGTAGGCTTGTCAAGGAGACAATATTTGTTTCTGTAGGCTTTGCAAAAATATTTGTGAAAGCTAATTAGACAAACCTCTTTTTGAACATTTGCCATCAAGTCTTAGATTTTTAGTCCAATTCCTGAAATATATATTATCACCATATATGATAAAAAGATTGTTGTTCTAGTTCTATTTTTATATCTTGTCATTTTGTTGTCTTGAGAGGATAAATTTTTCGTTTGTCGGTTTGTTTGGGTGTTGGGTTGTTTACTTTTTTGTTTTATTTATTGTTATTTTTTTGTAACAGCAGGTCAAGTGTTCTAAATGGCCAGTTTTTAGCAACCTGTTACAGACAATGAACCCATAATGCACAGTAAGGGCTTTTTCCCAAAGTCTTTTGTTGCCACAACAATCAAACAAACAAACACCCCAACACATACTTAAAGAGTCATTATGAGAAAGATGAGAAAGCATGAGCATAGTTTCATCATAAACATATTAACCAGATTCTTGACCAAAAGTCCCTTTAAATCTGTCCTGCTAGCTGAAACACTCAGCTTCCACAAATTCATGATGACAAATCTAAAATCAAATTACCTTCATACTCAGATGTGTCGGGACTTTCTTCTTCGTCGCTCATCTCTGAGGTACCAGGCTGCTCTTGGTCCTGTCCTGAACTCTGCTCTCCAGACATCGCTTTCTTCTCCTTTCGCAATCGGCGTCTCTCTTCAGCTGGAATTGAATGAATACCTTAGTTAGATTTTGAATCAATATTCATAACAAGGTTTCAGCTCTCAAAGTTTCTCGAGTCTTCAGGCTGGGGCCTGAAATAAGAACCTGGAACTAAGACTTTAATCTTGATACCAGATTTACCGGTTAAAAAGTCATAGTGCAAAATTTACCAACAGGTAGACTTGGTGATGTTCAGCTGTTTTTGCTGTTTTAATTCAGTACAAAGATTCTTTAGTTAAAGGTAGAGTAGATCATTTGCAGCTATCCAAAAAGTAACTGACCAAATTATTGTTAAAAAGCTTACTTGATTTAAAGATAGTAATGGCACTAAACACCCTGCGAAATTATTCCTTCTGGGATGATGTAATTTTGAAGAAAGCAATAAAAGAAGGTCATATCCAAAGATGCATCAAGTGACACATTTTTGGAAATTGTGTAATTAGTCAAATCCATGAATGGGTGCACGCAAGCGTTGACACGATGCACTAGCGCATGCGGTTGCTATTATTCATTGGTTCAGTAAGTGTCATCGCGTAGCGGCAATCAGCTGAATGAGAATGTGTTGTGGATGCTGATTTCGGGCGCAATTCAAAATGTGACTCAAAATGTGACTCGGCAACTTTGAATTGAAATTGAGATCCTAGAATACTGTTTTCTTAGAATATACAGCATTTACAATGCTAAAACTTCATCAGGTATAAGCACCCCCAGTTTTTGAGCACTTCTGTTGCTTCAACAAAACAAATGACAAATGATCTACTCTACCTTTAACAAAAAGAAAACGAGTATTGAAATGAGAAGGTAGAATTTGTGTCTCAAAATGTCTCCATCTTGAAACTGCAAGTGTTTTGGGTGCGTCACCTTCTTTCTCAGCTTCTTCCAGATCCTCAAAGTACTTCATGCCTGCCTCAAAATCTTTCTGTTCAATAGTCGGCAGAACAGATATGTCAGTCTTGTCGCCTGGTACCAGTTCATCGGTAATGAAAACCTCTGTCATTTTCTGTGCCAGTTCCCCTGAGGAATACATCTCCCAGAACTTCTGCAGGCCCTCCTTGGTATTAAAGCGCAGCACAAACTTGACGCATCCCAGTTGGACCCGGTCGATCAATGCGTTGCAAGGACTGTAGATACTAGCAAGGTGAGAGTGTCCGAATTGCCTCACTTTCTCGTGCATCAGACGAAACGCACTTCTCGTCAGATCTTTGAGCTCTGTGCCCTCTTTCACAATGTGGCATTTTGTCGACATACCTTTAAAGAAAAATGATGATAATGAAAACACAGCATTGCAGTGTGATTTCATATCTTTTAACTTGTTTTCAAAACTGCATATGTGTGTTAGTAAGGGTCAAGTCTGTCACAAGACAAGATGACGCATCAGGCTGGCGTTTATCTCTGGCTTCCTTGGCATGAAACAACTGAGAATACACGTATTTCTATTCCCTCTGGATGGGATGCCAGTCCATCGCAGGTTACTCCCCAGCTAATGCCTATACCCATATATACTCCTGGATAGAGGGAGGCAAGTGGGGGTGAAGAGGCTTGCCCAAGAACACAACATATGGCCAGCAGCCCGAAACCCCTGACCCTCTGATCATGAGTCCCAAAACCTAACCACTAGGCCACACTCCCCTGTGCGTGTCAGCAACTGTAAAACTTGAGAAGTTCATTAGCTGAGTCCAAAATTGTAAAAACAAAATCAGTCTATAACTGGTGGAACAGTTTAACTGTCAAAACACTGTTTAGTGTTCTTGTCATGGGTTCGTGTCAAAGGCTGCGATCGACACAGTGGCCATGTACATGTATGGTTAAAGCTTAATGCTGCGATCTCACAGCAGTAGCAAAGTTCATGCTCCGCGATCGATATTGAGGCCCGGGTGCAATGGAGCAAAACAACTGGAGCCAAAATGCACGGTAAATAGAAACAAATTGTATGATGTATGACATAAATCATACAATGGAATATTTGTCAAAGAAATGGGGCAAATGATTCAATGTCATGTGACTAAACTCCACCAATCAAATGACAGAAATCTATTAAGGTGTTATATAATCATTTCATGGCAGGAGGGGGAAAGGGAAGGGGGGAGGGGGGGGGGGGGAGAGGAGATACTTACCAAACTTGTTGGTGTTGAGGTTACCGTGATCAAAACTGATGACCCTAGGGAACTCATTGCTCAGGATACTGCTTGGAGTATCTTCAGCAATTGTTTTGCTCACTGTAAGTAGAAGAAACTTATATTCAGGAAATGGACCTTTCACTTTACTCATTACAACCGTTGCATTACATTGGAATGAACAAAGTTTTTTAGAACTGTGTTCAGCCCTTCATGGACGTAATTTTACTCAGTGCTGTCCAACAGCTTGTGCGAAAAAGTTCACATGCTTGCATGGGTTGGATTCGTACCTTTTGCCCATCTGCTTTAAAATGTACATGTCTAAACCAATCAACCAATGACATTTCCAATATAGCAGAAGGGATCAGTGAGTAGTGTCATGGGATCATACACCAGCCCCTAGGCATGTTATACAGTTGGTGTAGGGCAAAACCCAACAGTTTAATTTACATATCTCCCAACTAGAAAATAATTGATCGCAAAAACATTCACAAATTGCTGGATTCAAATCTTTGTCGGTAGGTTTCCTAAAGCACAAGAGTCTTTATGCTGATGGCTTCAAAAGTCTCATCTAGGGATGTGTGGGGTTAGGATTCAGTTGATTCCATGTTACCTGACACGATTTCTTCCTTAGTCTCAAGCAGTCCAGGTCCAAGATCCACTTTGTTGACGTCTTTCTCATTGATGGTAAGATTTGGTGTCATCGATGTCTCCATGATGGCGTCGGACTTCATTCAGGTCTGTATGGTGGGAATATCAATACCGCAAGGATTGAAACATTTTCGAGACATTAACTTCATTAATCCGCATTAGACTATAGTGGGACTTGCACTTCTGTGGAGTTCACAAAGTCAAACAATGGGGGCTCTCAACACTGCAAATTGAGAGTCCAAAAACTTACTCTTAAAGGGAAAATACAACATTTGCAAACATCAAAAAATAAAACTACCAAATCATTTTGAAATACCTTGCTGGACTGTTCATGAATGACAGTGTAAAGCATCCTGTAAAATCATATGCACCTGGTATACTGTCATTTTCAAGAAAAGTGGTATTTTTGTATCAATTTCCAACGCTGATCGGCCGATCAGCGTTGGAAAAAACTGGCTTTTTTCCAAATACTGGCCCCAGTTGACCATCGCACTTGTTTGCAATCGATTACACACCTATGAACGGGTACAAGCCAGCTAGACTGGTTCCCTGACCTTACAATTCCCCAATATATGTAAACTGCTCTGTTTCTTCTTAAATGGAGTCAGGGAACCAGACTACAGGAAAATGATTGTTTTTCTTGGTTTTTATAGCATTTTCGAACCCAAAACCTCAAAAAAGTCAGTGTAACTATATTTGCTATATATTTCCAACCCCCCAATTCCATCCATTTCTGAAAATTACAGCAAAAGCAAATGATGTATATTCCCTTTAATAAAATTGAAGCCATACAAGACAAGATGATACATCACCACCAAGTTATCCAGTCTTTCACTGGTTTTCAAAGTATGTTTATATGAACAACTGCAACCATACCAAATTGAAGTCTCTCTTTAAACACATTTCTATCTGACTCAAGTGTTATGCTGACAGGTTTCTGAACATCTCATCTTTATAGGGCATGCCTCAGTAATCCTATAGTTTATGCTAGGGCTGTGCATCAGAACCGGGTATCCGTGTACCCGACCACTGATGTCAGGAACCGGTTCCAGATTTTGGGATCGGGTACCCGTAATTAACTTTACAAATTACTTAGTAACTACAAAGACAATTGATAAGTTTTTGAATGCCATTTGTGGGGATTTTTTTAAAATGAAAACCTGGCTGAGTGAAAAACCAAAACAGATTTCATGTTTATGTGCATTTTAATAGGCAACAGTTGACGCTCGCAAAAGTTGCAGTTCACACTGCAAAGCCACAAAGCCCTTCAGACAACTTCCGGGATTTGAATTTTGTGGATGGGTTTCTTTTACGGGTACCCGGGATAAATGCACACCACTGGTAAAGGCTTCATACAATTTGATACAAATCACTACTCAAACATTGTTCTGCTCGGTAATCTATGACAATGAGCAGATGAGCACGCACGTACCTCCATGGTGTGAGTAAAGTTGGCCTATAACTGGCGATTGTGTAGTTTAGGATCCCGTTCCTATGACTATAAAAAAGAAAAGAAGAGTATAAGAGAACGAAAATACACTTTTTTAGTTTTTGGACTCACCTAAATAGCTGACGACATCATGAAGCAGGATTAATTTGGTGGAGAGAGGGCAGTGTTTTGATTTTGGAGCGAAATTACGGGGTAAAACACGACGATAAACGCACAATCATGACAATGCGAAATCATGCAAAATAACAATGGCTTCAGCATGTTCAGTGCAGGCTGCAGGGCACCGTGACTTTGCTGGACTGCGATGATGCGCACAGTTCAGACTAGACCTGTGAACGTGGCGTGTAACGTTCACGGGTCTCAGTTCAGACAAGCACGACAAGTAAAAAAGTCACATTTGCAACCGAACCACAGTTAAAAATTATGAAACCAGGCTTATTATAGAGCTTAAAGAAGATTGCTTGAGGTTGCAAAAGTCACTTTGGAACGATAAAAACACTGTAAGAACTTAAAAAAGAAAAAGGTGTCCTAAACTACACAATACCGACCTAACACTCATGTGACTACGGTTGTGCAAATATGCACTATAGATCCAACATATCCGAACAATTTTAACACATGATCATGTATGTGGCGGACTAGCCCTAGTCTATGGCCCGCATTGGAGTACTCTGCATGCATGCAGAGTCTACTCCAGTGCTAGTCTTGACCCAAGACGTCAGTGATCAAGAGCGATAGTTGCAATGTTCTGTAGCGCCTTTGCATAATTGATTTTTAACATTCTCTCACTAAGGCCAAAAAAAAAAGTCTCCGGTTTCTGGTGTGCGCGCGCGTCGCTGTAGCCATGCGCGTCGGCAAAATGAAAAAGTTTTTTTTCAATGAAAGATGATGTCTCAAAACCGCCAAACTCACTGGTTTGACTGGAATCCTGCTGCTGCACATTTTTAACGTGTTTTTAGATGGAGTTATGGTCGAGAATAAGCTTTATGTGGCCTCTCTGGACTCCCAATCCCATATAGGCCTATTTGTACTAAGTTTAGTCGGGCACCATTTGCAGTCATCAGCCGACATTTGAAGCAAAAAAGTCGGGTAAAAAAAAAAAAAAGCCGTGTCGCCGCACCACTTTTTGGGCAAGCTCCATACCAGAAACCGGAGACTTTTTTTTTTGGCCTAACGTCTTGGTCATTTCGTAGCAATGGGGGCATGGCCATTTTGAGTCAATTAGACCGTCTGTACTATAGCTCCGTGCATCATCACCGCAGTATCTCGACCGTTGAATGGTTCCCGATAAAGTAGCATGGGATGTGTATGTTTACAACCGGCAGGCGAGCCTTCTAACTATTTCTCGATCGCTGATTGGTCCGTAGGAAAGCCTACGGAGATAGTAAAGAAACAGTTAAACCGCTGATACGAAATGGCCAAGATGCTATAGTGCGAGCATGCATGCTGGTCTAATTGTTGCGCCATTAGAGGGCGCACAATGCACTGTCCACTATCGATCACTGGCACCTTGACCGAAGACTACTCCAGTACAGGCCATAGCCTGGCGATCGTGTAGTGTAGGGCCCCTGTATAAATTTTGATCAAATTAGAGTCAAGAGTGTTTTTTATTACTCAAAAATGACCTTTTCAACCTTTTGAACAGTTTCTTGGGGTAAAAATTATGCAGTGGATATTTTGCCGGAGACGGCAAACCTTTAGTAAACGTTAGTTTGCTGGATATGCACTGAACATGCGCAGTTACTGTTTTTTTTTTACTTAAAAACATTTTCCGGTGACAAATTTTAGTATGGCTCCATGTCAATATGATCGTTGTAACCTCGTATTCACAAGATGGGATTCAGACCATTTTATAATTTCGGACTTTATTTCCCTTAAAAAAAAATCCTCCAGAGCCACAAATCTGAAAAAGAAAATGTAATACTCTGCAATAAAATGTTCAAGACATGTTAAAATAATAAAAGAAGAATATTCTTATTTATTTGGGGATGAGAAAAAAAACCTTTAAAATGTGGCAGGGATCAGGATCGAACCCGGGTCGTCCCGCCCACTAAAGCTGTTGCTTATCTACTACACCAAACGTGCTACTCAATTTTTGGTGGGATTTAATACTTCTTATAATGGTGCCCTCTGTTGATATGGATTGCCGCCGGCAAACCTTTAGTAAACGTTAGTTGCCGTCATTACCTCCGGCAAAATATCCACTATCTAAAAATTACGATTTTCCTACGCGGTTTATGGTTGGTGCCGTGCGATTCAGTGCGCCTTGCGCCTTCACGGTACGTCATGGACATCACGCGGTGATCGCCATCTTTATTTTCGTGTTGCGTTTTGTCGTGTTGCGTTTTGCCATTGTTATTTTACCCCCAACAACATGCCCAAATTTCCCTCAAAAATTCAAAACCCTGCCCTTTATCTATAATCTATGAGTGGTATGACATACCTGCATGTTCTTAATGTCGCCAACTAGTTTGATAATGATACAATGTAGGTCAAATAATTTAAAAGTGGATTTTGTTCCCTTAGGAACCGGGCCCGTAGACACACTATCGCCCATAGACTATAACTAGGGCCGTACTAGTACTTAGTAGCTGGAGTTACCCAGCCCTGAGTTTTATCATTGGGTTGTCTACCCAATGATAAAACTCAGGGCTGGGTAACTCCAGCTAAGTACTTAGTACTTTTAATAGACTACTCATGTTCATTGATCCACATATGTTTCGTGCCATTTTTCCCATGTAAGATACTTAATACGATGTCTAACAGTGCAGAGATAAACAGCAGCTATATACTGCACCATTCCCAGGTTTGTAAAGACTAAATCGCTACGTAATTTCTCACTTCTTAGTAATCTTACCATCTGCAAACAACGCCACAACACACAATCATCAATAACGCAGCATCAACTGCTACGGGAATTTCCCGATCCTCTGAATGACATCATCACAAAGGGTTTCTGGGATAGCTTAGGCATAGACTTGCCCCAAGTCGGTTATTGTTAAGTTGATGGCGGCTTCTACAATAAAGAGCAAACTCATCAAACGTGCTTGAAGATTTAGTTCTTTTGTTTGTATTTTTGAAACAGGTTACACTAAATAGAATATAGAAAGTCACATTATTAAAGTGAGAAGTAAATCTGAGGACATTTTCTTCTATAAAAAGCGAGGCCAACTAATCATTAAGACCGTCGCCAATTACCTATGCGACTATCAAATGTTGCTCCCCCCTTCATCCCCCCATGCAGTGGCGTAGCCACGGGGGGTGGGGGGGGGGGGACGTCAGGGGGGGGGGGGGGGCTGTCGCCCCCCCCCCCCCACTGAGATTTTGAGTTTCTAAAAAAATTATCACTGATCTACATGACGCCCCCCCCCCCCCCATGAAATGTTCCAGGCCCCCCCCCCCCAGCGGCCCCCCCCCCCCACCTTTTGCAAACTTCTCTCCATTAAATTTACTCCATTGTTGATTCAGCATAGGCGAGTTTGTCCCCCGTTTCGCGACTTGTATGAGGCTTCCTTTACGACTTCATTGTGAAACATAAATATAGGACGACACAAATAAATACAGTAGGACTACGAACCCGTTAATATAGACGAAACAAATAAATATAGGACGGAACAAAAACAATATAGGATGAAACAGATAAATATGGGACGAAACAAATAAATATAGGACGAAGAGTTGCAACATAAATAGAACGAAGCTTGTTACGTCCTCTATTTATTTGTTTCATCCTATATTTATTTGTTCCGCAATAAAGTCATAAAGGGCGCCTCATAGACTTGGAACGAAAGGCAATTTGGCAATTACAAAGAGTACAATCCACTCTGGTTCTGGTTCTGGTTATTTGAAACGGTAAAATTCACTCAAGGATCACACCAACGTTTGACCTTATATTAATTCGCATGGGTGTGGAGATGACCTTAGTAAATTGCCTTTTTTAGTTGTCCATGATTGGATGCACTATCCTTGAATGTGTCCTAGAGTTGATGACGTTGGCTGGCAACTTAATTATTGTTCCATTCTGTAATGGTTCTCGGGAAGAAAGAGTTCCAGTAGGCTTCCTTGGTTGCATGTCATTTGTAAAAGTGTGTTGGTGCCCCCTGGTATTTCTTGTGTTTAAGGTGAGGTGCTCTCCTTGTGATATGGCAACCAGTTCGTGCTTGATTTTGTAGAGCATTGATAGTCTTCCGACGCTCTTTCGGGTCTCCCCACTTGAGGTGCTCCAGGATTCCAGTGACTGTTCCCCCCCGTGCCTACAGGGTCCGTCATAAGTCCGACGCCTCATAGGTCCGACAAAATCGCATCCCCTAACCAAATAAAGGCCCATACGTCTGACGCCTTTTAGCTCCGACGCCTCATAAGTCCGATGCCTCATAGCTCTGACGCCATAGCTCCGACGCCTCGTAAGTCCGACAAATAAACGCCTCGTTTTTCCGACGTCGGACTTATGAGGCGTCGGACTTATGAGGCGTCGGACCTATGAGGCGGAATAAATAAATGTTATGCCTCATAGGTCCGACGCCTCATAAGTCCGAAATTTCGGACTTATGAGGCGTCGGACCTATGAGGCGTCGGACTTATGATACGGCCCCTTCCCTACTGTAATTCTTTGCGCAGAATATTGCTGACTGTCTTTGGACTCTGTCCAGTATTTTGACGTTACACTCTGTGTGTGGGTCCCACGCAGTCATATCATACTCCAGGTGCGGACGCACCTGAGATAGGTAGGCCCCTATGCCGTGGATTTTACATCTTCTGGGCAGCTCCACACATTCCGCCTGATGACTCCCATGACTTTCTGGGCTTCGGCTGCAGCAAGCTGTGTTTTATTATTCTATTTCCAATTCAGTGTGTTTTGGAGCTCCACGCATAAGTAAGGACCAGAGTCTTCCGATGAGTTGCTCTCCACAAAAGGCGTATAGGATCTCTTTGGAGGATCATTCCGGTTAGACTGTAGCTATATAACGACAAGACGATTTTCGGGAATTCGTTCATAGTACTAACGGGTGCTGCGCGAAAGGTGGGCCCGGAGATGACTGTTTTGTATCGTTTACAGTATTGGAAGTGGGTTGTCTACACTCACTCACTCGGTCGCCCACAGGCGGGCTCGAGTATGGCTTTTCGAAGTAATTCGATCTTGCAGGGTGGCCAGTTCGTCTGTCGATTCTACACCGGTGTCCTTTTGCAGCGAGGGTTTCTTTTCTTCGAGTTTCGAGTTTCGAGTTGACTTTTCGAGTTTCGAGTTAAGTTTTCGAGTTTCGAGTTGACTTTTCGAGTTTCGAGTTAAGTTTTCGAGTTTCGAGTTAAGTTTTCGAGTTTCGAGTCAACTTTTCGAGTTTCGAGTTAACTTTTCGAGTTTCGAGTTGGATTTTCGAGTTTCGAGTTAAGTTTTCGAGTTTCGAGTTGACTTCTCGAGTTTCGAGTTGACTTTTCGAGTTTCGAGTTTCGAGTTGACTTTTCGAGTTTCGAGTTAAGTTTTCGAGTTTCGAGTTGACTTTTCGAGTTTCGAGTTAAGTTTTCGAGTTTCGAGTTAAGTTTTCGAGTTTCGAGTCAACTTTTCGAGTTTCGAGTTTCGAGTTAACTTTTCGAGTTTCGAGTTGGATTTTCGAGTTTCGAGTTAAGTTTTCGAGTTTCGAGTTGACTTTTCGAGTTTCGAGTTGACTTTTCGAGTTTCGAGTTGACTTTTCGAGTTTCGAGTTGACTTTTCGAGTTTCGAGTTCATTTTTCGAGTTTCGAGTTGACTTTTCGAGTTTCGAGTTGACTTTTCGAGTTTCGAGTTGACTTTTCGAGTTTCGAGTTAAGTTTTCGAGTTTCGAGTTGACTTTTCGAGTTTCGAGTTGACTTTTCGAGTTTCGAGTTGACTTTTCGAGTTTCGAGTTGACCTCTCTACTTAATGCCCAAAGCAGCTGGCTCTTGTACTTCTAGCTCTGGTTACAAGATTTATCCATGGAGGTAAGAGTAGGCATGGTTTATCCACCACTGAGTTAATAGTCATACACATGGTTAAAATAAGCAATTACAATAATTAAATCTTCATAATAAAAAATATAACAGTTTCAAGGCTTACATTTGCACAACTCAGTAATAAAAGCCTTTTTTGTTTTACAGTGAGATTCTTCAAAAACACCAATTGATTTTTCACCTGACTTGTGAGAGTATAAATAAAGATACATGTACCTGTACATGTAGTTCCATGATCAATATTATTTTCTAAACACTGGAAATCAAAAGTGCTTGGCCACTAGGTAAATGTCTTAGGGATTTTTCTATTCTTTGCACTGCAGTGTGCTCAAAGGATGAAGAAACAGTAGAAGCTTCAAAGTTTTCCCTCTCCGTTAATCATGGACGTAAAATTAAGCAGCACCCCATACCTATACATGTATTTTGCAGTTGTAGTGTTAAATAAGGGACCATATCTTGGTGTACATTGTACATGTGCACATGTAGCACACAATTAGGCTCATTGGAATGCATACAAGTTAATTAAATATACCTTGCTCTATGCTTACATGATATTAATTCAATACAATGAACAAAGCATCTTTGTGTAATTTTATCAGATTTTGATACCCCGTTTGCTACCAAAGACAGCAAATGGTCCAAGATTGACAACAGTTTATGACCAACGATGCAATTTAAAAAGTTGCAATTTAAGAGATACGCTTGGAGAAATTCCTCAGCGTAACCCAAAATAAATGCCTGTAATTGTCCCCATATGGACTGTACAGTGCCTGTACAAAGCGGGGTTATTCGATTTCACATGCTGTCATGCAGGCAAGCACTGTGCGATAGATATTCCTTGCTGTTCGTTTTGGGCAGTGTCACATTGTCACGCAGCAATTTCTTCTCAACTCGCATACTCTTTAAATTTGCAACTTTTTAAACTGCATAATTTGTCACAAACCGTAGTCAATCTTGAAAAATTTAAAGTCTTTGGTAGCAAACAAGGTATCAAAATGCAGCTGATATGATTCCCCACAGGTGTATAAATGACGTCCCCAATCACATTCAAAATTATGACACCTCCAATGAGTGTCAACTTTCTTTACTGGGGATGTTTGTGTACATGTAGGCATAATTACCTTTAATTCAATACCATACAGCATAACATAAATAACTGCATGAATTAAAGTTGATTAAGCACCAGCTAAAGTTGGAGCTATATACTCGCACTTGATTTATCAAGCTCAATCTGTGCAAGTTTGCTTTAAAATGGTTAGAGTTTTTAAAAGTTAAATTATCCAAAAAGTGTTATATATTTTTGAACACTTTACAAGGTTACTCTTCATTTCCCCTAATTGAGTTTTATGAAAGGATGTTGACCTCTCTACTTTCCTTCATGCCAAAAGCAGCTGGCTCTTGTCCACTGATTACAAGATTAAATGTGTTTATATTCCACCATGGAGTTCATACACATGGCTAAATCTGTTTGTCAGGTTAGCGAGACAATTAAAAGTTCATGATTAAAAATTGACAGTTTTTATAGGCCTAGTCACATGCAAAGTTAATATTTGCAAGTCAGTAAAGCCTTTTTTTCTGTTTAAAGTAAGGTTCTTGAAGAATGCTGATTAAGTTTTCCCCTGATTTGTGAGAATATAAATAAAGATAGCTCCATGCTGACACTGATTAACACTTTTCCAAACACAGGTGCTTGGCCACTAGGTTATTGCCTTAGGGATATTTCTATTCTGTTGCTGCAGTGTGCTCAAAGGGAGGGGATGAAGGAACAGTGGAAGAGCTTCAAAGTTTCCCCTAACTCTCCATTTATAGGACAGTAAATGAAATTAAGCAGCAACATGTATTTTTGAATTGTGTAACATTTTAGTGTTAAAATAATGTGTTGGGCCCATTAATTTACATCTACATGTAAACTATGTATGGAATGGGAGAAACTGCAAGGGCCCTGATTCGAAAAGTCAACTCGAAACTCGAAAACTTAACTCGAAACTCGAAAAGTCAA